ATGTCCCACACTAGCTATCCCTCCTTGGATCTGGTACCTTCAGAGGAGGAGGAGGCTGCTCACCGGTTCATATAGAGACCACAGCCTGTTGTGTAGCAACCAGTATGAGCATCTTCACAAGGGAGATCTGGGCATCAGAGACAGGAGTCCTGGCCTGTGAAGGGCTCTTTCCTGGCCCTGGGCCTTCCATTGCAAGGTGAATGCTGTGAGGCTGTGCCAAAGCTCCCACTTTGCACTGATGTGGCAGGAGAGGCTGGGTACCCTGCAGAGCCCAGATAGGGTGGCCTAGGAAGCAGATAGGTCTCTGTCCTCATGTTGTCACCATAGTCTACATCTGATGTAGCTCCAGAGATGCTCCGCCACCTGCCTTTCTGTGGTCATGGCCTCCTGGGCACTGAGGAAATAGCCTTAGGCACTGGTCTGTGTGGCAGGTTCGGCCCTGGACAGCAAGGCCCATGGCCTATGGGTGGGAGCTACTCTGACTACCATTTCCCTGCCCTTTCTGAATTGGCTTTTCTGGATGCCCCTGTACTGAGCCCTGCCAGGAGCAGATGTGGCCCTGACAAAGGCACTTTGTCTAGTGCTTAGGAGAGTTGGTTCAGGGGCTTGCTTAGCTATTGGAATGGGGGTGGGTGCCCAGGACTCCCAGTGCTGGGTGAGTGTGAAGGCAAGGGCACGCTATGCCAGCACCCAACTCCAGACACCTCATCTCAGGCACACTGGTGTATAACCGTTCTGCTCACCTAACTCTAAGGACAGGAACCTGTGGGTGGGGTGGCTGGATGACTGACAGAAGACAGGGGCAGCTTGAGCAGAGCACTCAACACTTGTCACATATACCGGCTGGGCTGTGAATTTACAGGGGAGCACCTCAGACAACACCCCAGAGCCTTCAGATAGGTCATATGCTAGGTCTAGGAGGGTTTGTGGGCAGTCCAGCGAAAGTTCCTGTGTGTTAGGTGCCCTGTGTGCATCCCCCTGATGAGCCTGATGTAGTGGCAGAGCCTACTTCATCTTGAGGTTGAGGTTTCAGGGCCTGCGTACCAGGGGTCTGGTTGAAATTGCTCTGCCTGACTGGAGGCAGAGGGGAAGTCAGTTGCTAGGCAGCTCTGGTAGGAGGCTTTCCCTGGACCAGATGTATTTAGTGAGGTCAAGGGAAGCCAGGCCCTGTTTGTTTCTGGCCTGTTTCTAAGCCTGGCAGTAGGTCCTGGCCATGGCGCCTTCACCCCTGGACTGGCCGGCCAGCGGACAATGGGCCTGGCTTTGTACAAGGAAGCTTGGACTGCTTGGCAGTGTTGCTGTGGAGACTGGGGGATGGGCTGCGTTTGCCGAGGGACCAAGAGATGGAGGGCTCTTCAGAGACACAGTGGTCTTTCCCAGGGGCTGAGTGGTACTGTGGGCACTGAAACAGGGACATGACTCAGCTGGTGCCTCATGCATGGGTCACAATGCTCCCCTGTAAATTCACAGCCCAGCCGGTATATGTGACAAGTGTTGAGTGCTCTGCTCAAGCTGCCCCTGTCTTCTGTCAGCCATCCAGCCACCCCACCCACAGGTTCCTGTCCTTAGAGTTAGGTGAGCAGAACGGTTATACACCAGTGTGCCTGAGATGAGGTGTCTGGAGTTGGGTGCTGGCATAGCGTGCCCTTGCCTTCACACTAACGCAGCACTGGGAGTCCTGGACATCCACCCTCAGGCCAATAGCTGATACCCAAGGTGCTTCCCCATTTCATGCACTGAGATGGATAGTCTATCTCAGCCCTCTACAGTGAGTGCTGAGGGTTTCTTTTCTGAGATGCAGGCAGTGGGGGGGGCGGGGGGCTGGCTTCAGGGCAGAGCATAGCTGTGAAGTGCAGATCACCTGTGTTCTCTGGGCACTGAACTTCTGTTTTGTCCTCTGGTGGCAGTGGCAGCTCCTCCAGGAGGAGGACACTGAGGCACAAAAAGCTCCCATTGCCTATTGTGGGTGTGAGTGCCCCAGACGCTCCTGTCTCAGGTAGTGATGCATGCAGCCTGCTCATTCAGTTCTTCCCCTCCCCAGGCATCTACATTCTCATTGCTGTGGGAGCTGTGATGATGTTTGTGGGCTTCCTGGGGTGCTATGGGGCCATCCAGGAGTCCCAGTGCCTGCTGGGGACGGTAAGTAGGAAGGGCTGCAGAGCTGGGGAGTAGGGTTTCTGGCAACCTCTGTCTTCCCCAAGGTTTCGGTCTTTCTGTTTGCTTCATTCCCTTGAGTCTGACTCTGAAGATTCCTATTGACAGAGGGAGTTTCTCTTTAGAAATAACTCCAGAGGGGTGCCTCATCCCGAAAGCCAGCCTTAGTGCTCCTGGCCACAGTAGCTACTGGTGGAGCTGAGTCCCAGATACGTCTTCTAGAGCCTGGCCAGCCAGTATCAAAAGCTGGGGACCCTGAAGCCACGCTTCATATTTTAACCTGCCCATGAATGTAGGAAAAAGGGGGTAAGGAAACTGAGGTCAAGGTTGTGGGGCATATTGCTGCATGTGCCTCCCTGAAGGCTGTGGACACTTGGATTTGTTAATTGCATCTCCTGTACCAGCCACTTCCTACAAAGCAGGGACCAGGGTGAGGCCATGAGAACTTGGACATCTCAGTGCTGAGCTGCATCAGGCTCTGTCTTTTATGGTTCTGTGTGACCCATTCTTAATCAGGGCATGGTTGGTGGATATGTTCAACCCCCTTGGCACATAGTTGTTGGTCATGTGGGCCCCTGTAGAAGGCCAGGCTTGGGCTCACTGGTCAAGGCTCTGACCTCTTCTTTCCCCTAGTTCTTCACCTGCCTTGTGATCCTGTTTGCCTGTGAGGTGGCTGCTGGCATCTGGGGTTTCGTAAACAAAGACCAGGTGAGCCTAGGTTCACTGAGGAGGGAAATATGCCCTTTGCCCGGGCAACAGGTGTGGACTTCTCTGAGCCCATGGGATATAGGGTACTTTTTGAATTTCTGGTGCCTGCTGGTAGAAGGGTCTTGGGAACTCAACAAAAGAGGTGGCATCAGGTTGAGCACATCAGGGGAAGCTGAGTGCTCTTGATGGTAGTCCCTATGCTGCATGTGACTATGATTCTCCCCCAGATCGCCAAGGACGTGAAGCAGTTCTATGACCAGGCCCTTCAACAGGCTGTGGTGGATGATGATGCCAACAATGCCAAGGCTGTGGTGAAGACCTTCCACGAGACGGTACAGCTAGGCTGGAGCAGGGAGGGCAGGTTGTGGGAGTCCTAGTGTGTCTGACTTGTGGGAATGAGTCCTGTCCCCAGACCTCAGCAACTGGACAGGGCCTGGATAAGTGTCTCCTCTGATTTGTAGGTCCGCAGGTAGGAACCTAATGGGCCTCATTTGCCCAAGGGTTTGGATGAACAGGGCTCTTGAGCAGTGTGATAAACAGGGCAGGCCAGCTCCCAAGTGTATTTGGGGGTGACATGTGCCATGTACCTGACCTTTCCCTTGTCTCCTGAAGCTCCTAAGCTGACAATGATGCTCTTGGTCTTTGCAGCTCAACTGCTGTGGCTCCAACCAACTCACTGCACTGACCACCTCTGTGCTGAAGAACAGCCTGTGCCCCACTGGCACCACCCCACTTACCTCCTTCCTGAAGGTGACATGGAGTGGGGGTGGGCATCATATCCTGGGTAGTAGGTAGGGTGAATGTGGCCAACCAGTAAGATCAGCACTTCAGGCAGAACCTCAGAAAGGCTCACAGAACATCTCAAATAGTGGGGTGCTGGATCCTGATAGCCTGGATTATCCCCCACAATATTCTGGGAAACTGCCCTCTTGAGTGGCCCCTTATACATACTGGTAAGCCTAGGGTACTAGTGAGGTCAGAAACTACCCAGTGATAGAGAAGGCCAGCAGGTCCATGTGTTTTAAGTTTATTTTTGGATGGAAGATAAGCTGTGGGACATAAGCCCCACCACTGAGTAGGGTGGTGGCTGTAACTTAGCCACTGACTGTTACCACCCTCTGGCCATTCCTGCAGGAGGATTGCCATCAGAAAATCGATGAGCTCTTCTCTGGGAAGTTGTACCTCATCGGTATTGCAGCCATCGTGGTAGCTGTCATCATGGTGAGCCCAGGGCCTCTGTTTGGTGGGTGGGTATGCCCCCCCCCCCCAAGGTCCTAGGTGCTGACAATGTCCCTCCCTCCCACAGATCTTCGAGATGATTCTGAGCATGGTGCTGTGCTGTGGCATCCGGAACAGCTCCGTGTACTGAGGCCCTGCACTTTGTACCACAGGGACTCTGCAGTGCCCCGTCCCTGAGTGACCAGAGGCCACCTTGGGGGCCATGGCCTGTGTATATATTTCTGTATTACTCTGCTACACTTAGCCTTTTTACTTTGAGGGTTTTGTTGTTATTGTTCTGAACTTTCCCTGTTACCTTTTGGGGGCTGACATCACACATAGGTGGTGTGTGTGTGTGTGGGGAGGGGGATGTAAGTGTGGAGCTGGCCCTGGCTTGCAGGGCCCTGTACTTCTGGGACCCCTGGGGAGCTCTGCCTGCTGAGCCAAGCCTTCTCCACAGCCACTTGCCCAGAGGCTATATAGCTGAGCTAGAGGGCCATGTCCACCCACTCTGCCCACTGTGGGTCACATCACTCACATCTTTTTAATCCTTGCCCCTTTCCTGCCCCCACTTCAAGAGCTGGGTTTGTAAGCACTCTTATGCCTTCAATGCACCTGTTCTTTCTAACGTGTCACCTTCAACTGTAATTACATCTTCAACAGTCATTTAATAAAGGAGGAGAAAATCAGGCATGCTAATGGGACTGCCAGACCTCTTCCTGTGCCAGTGGTGTCAGAGACCGGGGGCTCAGCTCTGAACTTCGCCAGGCACAGGGCGAGCAGGTCCAAGAGAGGCCGTAGAACACAGTGGGTGGGAAAGGTTGGGACCCTGGGAGCACTCCATGTTAAATACCCCCCCCCCCCCCGTTTCTACCTCTCTGCTGACCTTATACCAGCCTTGACTTCATTTCCACTCATCTGTTGGACATGCCCAGTCATGCTGAGCCAGGTAGGAGGGGCCACATAGCAGAAAAATTCAGCAGAATGCTGGGGATAGGCTACAAAAATACACATCCTGCTTTTGAGGGACAACACAGTAAAGGTTAGACCACGGCTCCATCCCAAGTATCTAGGTGCTTGGAAATGTTCTACGGAGCCTGTGTCTTAAGGGGTAATGGGCAACTGGCAGCCTTGTGAACTGAGGGTCACGCTAAGCAACCACCTGGACCCCAGCAACTACCACCAGTCTTTTTCCCTTTGACTCCTGTCTGCGCCCATCCCCCCAGCTGCTGGCATATTTAACTGGCCTCTAGAGGAGAGAGAGCCTGGCTGAGACTCAGGTCCCAGCTCCTAGCAGCCTCCCAGTAGGCTGATTTGTCAGTGAACCCCAAGTCTGTACTAGGGCGTTCTAGTCTCGACTGCCCCCTAACCCCGTGCAGCACGTTCCCTGCTTGGGTTGGCTGCTGGTCTGAGCAACCCTTTCTACTCTTAGGAGTGAAGCCCGTGGGCACCTGGCCAAGGCTGTAGAGAAGCCTGCAGCGCGGCTTCAAGAACATAGGGAAGAAGGGGAGCATGCAGCAGCCCAGTGGACCCTCAGACCCTGGTCCCCAGGGATCCAAAAGGACAGACAGCCCCAGGGCTGGAGGGGGGTTGTGTGAGGTCTTGAGTAGTGGGGTCAGTGTCCAAGCACGGACAGGCAGAGCCCGGAGGAGCGGCCTCGAATCTCTTTAATGCCGACCACGTCTCTAGATGCCAAGAGTCGACTAGGACCTTAGTCCCGCCCCGGAGCACAAGACCCGCGCCACTTCCGCCCAGGAAACTGGTTGGCGCCCGCAGTGCGTGATGACGCACTTCCTCCCCATGACGAACCCGGCTCAGGCGGCTTCCGACAGGTGGTTCTGGAGGCCTCAACCCTTTGCGATTGGCAGTTAGTCCCGGAGTATTATGGGAATCGAGGCCCTTTGACCCCGCCTCTTCCTCTTTCGTCATTCCGGGTAGATTTCCGTGTCCGCTCCGGTCTTCCGTGATAGCGCATACGTAAAGCTACACCTCCCGGCAGGCATTAGGCATTGGCCCATTGCCTTCTGGGAGTTGTAGTTTCTTGGGCGTTAAAGTCGCGACATTCAGCCGGCCGGAGACTCGGTTTCCCAGAAAGCCCAGCAAGAGTGGGCGGGAACCACGGCCTGAATCCCGCGGAACCGGCGGTACTCTGCGGGAAAAGCCGCTGGGTTTTGCAGCGTGCACGGAAGCTGGAACAGTGAGCGCCGGCCTCCTTAGGACCGCTCAACTACCAGTTCCCTGACAGCCCTCCCTCCGGACCCGGGTGGCGCCTGCGGTAGTGGTGTGTACCCGGAGAGGCTGCGTTCTGCTGAGAGCCGGTGATGGGACGAGGGGCTGGTCGAGACCCTCTGTCTCCAGCGTCTCCTAGCGCGCATCCTGTATATGTCCACACTATTCTGATCTCATGGTTTGACTCTCTCCTTAACCCTATCTAGCCTGAAGCTCCACATCTGTGCGCGCGAGGACGCACTTTAGCCACCCAGCTTCGCGAGGCCTCCGCCCGCCTGCGTGACCAGCCGGCGCCCGGCTGTGAGCAGAGGCGCCTGGCACATAGTGGAGGTGAAAGGGGACCCTGGGAGGACAGGGAGGGGCGCGTCCTAAGTACAGCCCTCACGGCGGAACCTGGGCTGCTTCGCTACAGGTGGAGAGGGTTCCAGGTCGGCATGGCGGAGGCGGAGGCTGGCTTGGAGGCTGAGGTACCCACCGAGGATGACACCCTGCCTTCTGACACCGTCTCCCTAAGCGACTCGGACTCGGACCTCAGCTTACCTAGTGGTGCGGAGGTGCAAGCGTTGTCCCCGGAGAGGCTTTCAGGGGAAGCTCAGGAGGACTCCGACCCTGAAGACCCACCTTCGCCCCCCACTGGCATCTCCACCCCCGCAGCCCAGCCGTTCCTCCTCCGAGGCATGAGCTCCACCTTCTCTCAGCGCAGCCACAGCATCTTTGACTGTCTGGAGAGTGCAGCCCGGCAGGTACCGCCCTCTGCGCCCCAAACCAGTGTGACTGACAATGGCAGCTTCAAACGGCCCGTGGCTCCCCCAAGTCAGACTCCTGCAAGGAACCTGAGCAGAGTGCATGAGAGCACTGGCCCAACCAGGGTACCTCCTGTGCCTGATTATGTGTCCCATCCTGAGCGTTGGACCAAGTACAGTCTGGAAGATGTGGCTGAAGGCAGCGAGCAGAGCAACCGTGCTGCTGCTCTGGCCTTCCTGGGCTCTCGAAGCCAGGCATCCCCCACAGACTATGTACCCTCCTTCAACCAGGACCCCTCTAGCTGTGGGAAGGGGAGAGTGGTCTTTACCAAACCAGTCCGAGGTAGTGAGGCCAGGGCTGAGAGGAAGAGGGTCCTCAAGAAGGGGAATGTGTCAAGTACTGGGAGTGAGGCCTCTGTGGAGCTGGCTCATCTGGCCGGGCCTGAGGCTGAGGAGTGGAGTGGCCACCAGGGACTGCAGGAGGTAGTGATACCTTCAGTAGCTGACTATCCTGGGTCCTCATCAGACCCAGCAGGGGTGGAGGTTGTTGGTTTCCATGGTAGCAAGAAGCGGAGCCGAGAACACTTCCGGAACAGGGACAGTAACCCCGAGGGGCCAGGGTCGGAGAGAGGCCCCTCAGTTTGACTGTGGTGCTATCACTCCACCTCCTCACCTGCCTAGGTGGGAAGCCGTGGGCTGTTTGTAGGAGGGGTGTGTGTGCAGCAGCTCTGGCTGGGACTGTGGGGATTGTGGGACCTTGGAGGCCCTTGTGCCCCAGTGTCTTGGGGTGAACAATAAAGGTTTGGGGTATTTCTTGGATTTTGTGGATTTTTCTGGGCCCCACCCAAGGTCCATCCAAACAGTCCTTAGCAACTAACTGTAGGACTCCATCTACACCAGCCTCACCTTGCCCTCCCCACTCCAGTGGGAACTGCTGTGAAGGTTTGCCATGGTCATTTACATTTGCCACTGGTGAGCCTACCCAGAAGGACTGGGCTCATAGCCATGTCCAGCCTTGTGCCCCTGATGGTAATGGATGAACATAATCTGCACCCCAGAAACCAGCACTAGGCCTATGCAGACCACAGTTTTAGGAAGAGACTAGGTTGAGCCAGCAAGGGAGGTTGGGCAGGTGTCCACCCAAACTAAAGATAAACTGGTGTCCTGGGTATACATCTTCAGGACTTGTGACCTCTGTGTAGAACCCCACTGATGCTATAGGCTGATGCTAGGTCATTTAGCTGAAGCTAAGCCCGGGAGGAAGAGAAGGATGCGGGGAAGACACATGAGTGAGTACTTCATGTGGAGGCCAGGGTCTTGGACCAAGCTAGCTAGCCGGACTTGCTAAGTACCAGGTCTGTCCTAGCCTCTCTAGTCCCTATTCCAGGGCTTGCTTGAGTGTCCCCCAAAATGGAGGGATCAGCCTGGATGGTCATAATTTGAGGAGCAGTGGAAGCAACCGAGATGTCATTCAATAGGTCAGGTAACTCCATGCTCCCCAGGTATTTGCCATGCATGTTCAGCCATCCCTGTGGTCCAGTGCAGCGGAGTCTAAATGGCCTACAGGGTTTATAGTAGCGTTGGGTATCTTTGAAAGGTATCTTGGGGTTACTGTCAATGGTTACACAGATATTGCTGTGGGGGCAGAAGTGGGGGGGAACTGATGGCTATCAGCCCTCTAGAAGCTGATCAGCTGATAAAGAGTGGATCTTTGAGGGCAAAAAGAAACCACTAGTGTTTAAGAGGGACTAGTGTTTCTTAGGAACTCAGGGTAGGATGGGGGCCTAGACCCAAGTAGCTCGGCCTTGGCAGATGGTGTCCTGTGTAGGACTTGGCTAGTTCCTGCTGTGCAGTCCAAGCCGGTGAGAGCTCTAGGTGGGACTGAAAGAACTTCCCTGCTGGAGAAGACACCGCTGGGGCTCCCAGATAGATGCCAAGAGACATGAGTTTCATTTTCACTGGAAGGGATGTCCAAGAAGTGGTCTGTGGCAAGGCCTAGAAGACCATTTTTGGGGGTTGCTGGGAGTAGGGGAAGGTTGATGTGTCACAGAAGCCCAAGATGGCAAGGTCTGGGGCTCTAGGACAGGTGGTCCCTCCATGTCAGGTGTCTGAGGGTGGCACGCCAGCCTCTGGGTACTCCCTGTCCCTAGTAGAGGCTGGCTGACTCCTGCGACCACAGTTCTGGGAGCCTGGGAGCAAGGAAGGGAGAAAGGACCCTCAGCTATGGAGCCCCAGCTGGGGCAGGGAAGGACGAGGCAGGAGAGAAGACAAGGGCCAGGACATGGGAAGTGGTAAGGCCTCTGTGCAGGAGGACCTGCTAGGCTCCTGTGTGCCCAGGAGCAGTGGCCTGCCAAGGGCAGCAGGAACCTCCAGCACACATGGGAAAGGCCGGACCTGATGCGCAGCCTACAGCTTTGCTCTTGCCCTAATCCAGTGAATGAGGAGGAGCCCGTGCCCCCCTCATTCCCACGGCCTGAACAACACTTACTTGAGTGGGTGCCACCTGGAGCCACTGTGTCAGCCATGGAGGACAGGAGGAGCATACAGTAGTTGGCCTGGAAGGAGCCAAGGGAGGTGCTAGACTTTGGCACAGGGTCCCTCCCGTATGTCTCCCCTCCTGCCAGGGCTAGCGCTGCCCCAGAACTCCTCACTCTGGACCAGGTTCCCCCATGGGATGGTGACAGGATGTGGTGGTGAACCTAGGTTTTGTTGGGCCAGTTCTAGAAGAACAATGGGTCTCTAAAGTGACTTGGGGCACTGACAAGCATAGGCCAACATATGCTTTGGCCGTAAGGTCTCCCCTCTGCTCTGTCCCGGCCCTAATGCTGCCCATCAGGATGCTAGTATAGGGCTGTGGTAGTTCCCATAGAACCAGAAGGATGGCCCCACCTCAGGAAGAAGAATGGACAGTGGGTTGCTGGCTTGCCTGTGATTCCAGACACTGGATCCTCTTTTCTTGCTCTCTCAGCCCGGTGATGTATTTGGCAATCAAGTCCACTCTGGAAAGCAGAGCCGGCCGCAGATGTGGCACCTCCATGACAGGCCACAAGGGGGAGCCTGCCTGCCTGCCCTAACTGCTTTCTCAGGGCCTCAGTCAGCTGTGGCCTCTTGCTCTACTCTCCTTCCAGTCTTGATCTGGGGCCTGTCTATGGATGTGGAACACTACTGTACCCTCCCAGAGATTGAGGTGCTGTCCCTGCTTGGGATAGACCACCTAGCAAGAGGAGAAAAAGTAGGTAGTCCCCATAAGCGTTAAGGAACAGCTCCTCCACCACCCAGCATCGACTGGGGTGTGGATCTTCAGACTTGAGAGAGGATGAAGAGAGAGTCCCATTGCAGAAAGATGCCTAATTATAGGCCTACATTCCCACCCCCTACACACACACACACACACACCCTTCCCCTAGAGCAAGAGGCTGGAGTGCTGGGTCTTGTGACCCAGCCATGTTTCCCCAGCTCAGAGGTCCTATTACTGACACTAAAGAGTCTCACCCAGCCTTAAGGTAGTTCAGCAAACCCCACCCATTACTGAAAAAGCTAGATATTTCCCCACCTCCACATGCTTGCACTGGGGAGCCCCTCCCAGGCTTATTTCCCCTCAAAACACCCAGCTGACTAAGGTCAACCCAGCCCCACTGCATCTGAGTCCACCTGCCTCCAGGCAGGGCACTTTCTACATCTCTGGACAGCCCATGAACGGGAATGATGGCACCTGCCAGCCTGAGCCCCCTATGCCCACCGCCTGGGGTCCCACAGGCTGCCCCACCTGTGTGCTGTTTTCCTCAGCACCTCCCCCTCGCTGTCCCTCCTCCGTTTCTCCATGGCACTCATGAAGTTCTCCTTCTGAACTGTTTCCCAGGTAATGATCTTCTGGTCCAAGGGGTCAGGTAAGTCTCTTTCTGGCAAGGTGAGAGACAGCAGCAAGCCTTGTATGGGCCCCTAGGGCAGAGCCCAGGCCCAGGCTGTGGCAAGGGACTGGGGCAGATGCTGCCAGGCAGGGCATAATGCAGATGGCAGAAAGAAGCCCCATGGAGGGATCTGGGGCTGTAAGGAGACAGGATGGCCCTGTGGCTGTCAGTACGGGCCTGGGGCTTTGGCTAGCCTGGACAGAGCCTAGATGAGAAACCCCAGCCCCTTCTGTGAGTCTTCTCTGGCAGCTAGGACCCTTGGGAGCAGGGGTATCCAGCCTGTGGCCTCACCCAGGTGCTGACGCTTGTGCTGGGCTTCTTTCCTGAAGACCCTCTTGAGCACCAGACTCAGGTGGCTGAGCAGGATGAAGGGCGGGGCCAGGGCCGGTCGCCCGTGGTATTCAACGATGAGGTGGTAGCGCTGAAACTTCCAGAACATGTCGGCATTGCCCTGGACCACTTGGAATGTGTAGCTACAGGATACATGGCCAAACCCTTGCCTCATAAGCTGCTCTCGCTGCTCGTAGAAGCATTCTACCTCAACCCGGCACCACCTCCCGTGCCAGATGCCACCCCATCCCATATCCCATTTCCCTTCTCTCACCCCTTCACCTCCCACACCCAATATGCCATCCTCCATTGCATCCAGGGGGCAGCTGGCCTGTCCTAGGAGCCCTTTCAGAGATGGAGGCTAACATAGTTAGCCTTAACCATCACCTTGACAGTCTACAGTCACCTGAGAACCACAATTGAGGGACTGCCAAGATCAAATTGTCCCGTGAGCATGCCTGGGGCGGGGATTATATTGACTATTAATGGATGGAGGAGGGCCCAACCCATTGTGGGCCGCACCATTCCTTGTGCAAGAGGTCTAGGGCTGTGTCCAGCTAAACATGAGCCTGAGCGAGCCAGCAAACAGCATTTCTCTGTGGGTCCTGCTTTGAACTCCTGCCCCAACTTCCCTCAGGGATGGACTGTGGTCTGGACATGTAAGATGAAATAAACCGTGTCTTGCCCTAAGTTACTTTCAGGCAGTTTTATCACAGCAATGGAAAAGAGACCAAGACAGGGACCCAGCAGCCCTCAGTCACAGACTCCGGTGTCCTGCAGTGGAGGTATACTCACTGCAGGATTTTACACAGTCCTGAGCCCCCAGCACTGTAGGCTCACCCTCCTTCCTAGCAGGATAGACATTAGCTAAACATGAACCTGAGACCTGGGGTGCTGGCTCCCTACTGCAGAGCCAGGCCAATGGACACAGCAGTGAAAGGGACTAGGTCCTTCTACTAGGGACACAGGTCCTATCTCTGCTGGCACCCTGAAACCAGCCCAACTGAGAGGAGGGAGCGTGGATGTAGTGAGGGCAGGTGGCCAGGAGAGGAGGAGGGTACCTGAACATGGCGATCAGCAGGTTCATAAGCAGCACATTAGTGACCAGCAGGAAGGTGACCAGCAGGAGAATGACCACCCAGTTGGCATAGAGATTGGGGCAGGCAGCTGAGCTTTCCAGCAGTAGAGGGTGGAGGGAACAGTTCACACGGGCCTCTGCAAGGCAAGCAGACATCTTCAGACTGGGAGTGTGGTTCCAAGCGGAGGTCATCAGGCTGCAAGTCTGGCTAGGCAGCCAGGGGCCTGGTTCACATAGGGCTGGCCGTGTGAACTACAAAGTACCAAAAGTCCCATTGTGGAAGCCAGCAGGTGGACGGACTCCTTATCATCTGCCCTCTCTGCTGGGATTCCAGGAAAAGTCAAGGGCCATGGAGGCAAGCCAAGACCATCCCTGTGAGGAGTGGAAGGGAGGGCCAAAGAGTCCTGGAACCCACTTCCGTCTGCCATTGCGTGGAATAATTCCTTCAACTCCACCAGAAAGGCTTACTGCCCATGTCTTTCCCACCCAGGGCTCCCAGGTGAGAGTGAGGCTGCTGACTTCTAGACATCTCTGCCCACTCTGGGAGTTTCCAAGGCCCTGGGCATCCCCCCAAGGGCTCTGGGCCACAACACTAGCCCCTTTGAGCCATCAGTCCCTTCATTTATGCTTCTGCCCTGCAGGTCCCCACCCTGGCCACACCTGGTCAAGCTTGCTGGGCAGCACAGGCTGAGGTTGCCATCTTGACTCCTGATTCCATCCCTGTCTTCTCCAGGCTGTGTGCTGGGGCACGACTGTCGTGTAAGTAGGTGTGAACATATGTGCATGGGTATATTTCCTATTCTTGTTCTTCCAGATCTCTGTGTTACAAGTGATACTCCAGGGAGGCTGTTTGGAGGTGCATTTTTGGTATATTGGACTTTCAAGGTCTACCTGTGTGTAGTGGTGTTTCTCTGACCCTGTCTCCCTTTCTAGGACAAATTCCTACCTTGCTGCCCCAGTGAGCTATTCTTATTGGTCAACCTATGGGTGAGTAATGGAGTGTTGTATTGTATGGAGGGGTGCATGCAGCCATCTGAGAGTGCCAGATCCCATCTTGTCCCGTCCAAGGCTGCATTAGCAGCCACCACCACACCCAGCCTATGAATCTGCTCCTAATGCTGTTCCCCCACTCTCTTCCCTCCTCTTGGTGCCCTAGATGGGTGGCCAAGCCCTCCTTTGTGAAGCCGTAAATCTACACCTGCCTGAGGTCTGAGAAGGCCCACAAGGCCTAGTTGAATGCAAATTTGGCCCTGGAGCCCAGAGCTTGGTGGAAGGAGGGGCAAGTGTGGTGTGGAGGGAGGGGAAGGGAAGGGAAGGGAAGGGAAGGGGAGGGGAGGGGAGGGGAGGGGAGGGGAGGGGAGGGGAGGGGAGGGGAGGGGAGGGGAGGGGAGGGGAGGGGAGGGGAAGGGAAGGGAAGGGAAGGGAAGGGAAGGGAAGGGAAGGGAAGGGAAGGGAAGGAAAGGGAAGGGAAGGGAAGGACTTCCATGTCTCTTTACTCCAAACACTGGGCCAGAATTACCCAGGCCTTAGTTTCCCTCTGAGCACAGGCATGTTAGAGAATACCAGTCCGCTCTCAGCATAGTAGACACAGTGTGTGGGGAAGGGCACTAGAGAACCTAGTGAGGGGTTGGCAAGACTGTTCCATGACTCACTATGCCTACCACGTCCTCAGTGCTTCTGCTGACCCTGCAGTGGCCTCCATGCCTAGACTGAGGACTTTCTATCCCACTGCCCTTCTAGGCTGCCAGTGGCCTGAGCCTCTTCCCCAGTGCCTGTGGAAGAGAGACCAGAGTTACAGCTACTAGGGAACTGAGACCCCAGAGCTGCTCTGGCTGAGGCACTCAGCTTCCTCCTCCTGCCCCCAGGGACTGGGGCCATGAGGCCATATGGTGAGGGGGAGGGAAGAGGCAGGCAATATCTGCTTAAGCTAATGGCCTAGAAAAGCGATGTCTCAGGTTGAGCAAACACCAAAGGCACTGGGGTGGGGAGAAGAAAACAGTCCAGGGTATGGCTTGGAAACACCCCAATTAGAAGTTAATTTGCAGCCCTTCTGTTCCTGGAGGCCTGGGCTTGCTCCAATCTTACTGTCCTCCATTGACAAATATTCATCAAGCGTCATGATTGCTGACCTGGCCTCATTAATGGCCTCCTCCAGGATGGGTAGGGTCAGGTCTCTACTGACTATCCAAACTGCAAGGCCCCACAGTTGGATAACCCTAAATCCCTTGACACTAGCATGAGCACTGACCCTTATGCCTCAATCTGCACCCCATCTCTAAGCCTGTGCATGCTCAGTAGTGCCATGTGGAGCTGCTGTCCTGAGTCTCAACTCTCTAGGCCCTTTGTCTGTCTAATGCGCCGATCCCTCTGTCTGCCCAATCTTAGCCTTCTTAGGTCTTCACAGGTCCCTCCCCATTCTGGCTCCAGGTTTTTCATTCCTCCATCACCCACAGGCCCCCTGCTGTAAGTACCCAGCTGCACCCTAGGATCGCCATCAGCCCTAGCCAGGTGCAGGGCCTAGCTTGAGGGGACACCCATGATTACAGATAAGCCACACACCATTGACACCAACAGGCAACACACACAAGTTGGATGGATCCCTAATGAAAGCAAGGTTCAGCTGGAAATGGTGAGCAGATGGATCACAGGGAAACTGCAGCCAGGTGAAGCAACATGGAATGGCCAGGGTGGCCTGGGTTCTTCATGCTGTGCTCGTGGTGTCTGCCCGTCTTCTGCCCCTCCCAAGACCCCTGTCTACAAGGCCCAGCCCAGCCCTAGACCCCCTCAGACAGAAATCCAGCTCTGGCTATTTGGGATCTCTATGGCCTATTTCCCAGTCTGGGAAAAGATGGAGGCTCCATGGCCAGTTGTGTCTTGCCCTGCTTCTAGATCCCAGCCTGTGACCTAGACTTAGGATGTCATTGTCTCAGGCATTTCCAGCCAGGGCCCTGGTGACACAGAAGTGAGACCACATATCCTGGAGCCCACCAGCCCACCAGCCCACCTTCCTGGCTCAACACAAACCATCAATCTCGTCCAGAGGGATTTGCCCAAAGATCTGCAGGTAAGGCCGGTAGAGCACACGGCGGAAAATCCACTCCAGACGGCCGTCGTGGGGGTGCAGCAGGGCCTGAGTCGTCACACCGTAGGCCACAAGCCACACGCTCAGGAAAAAGAGGAAGAAGAAGACATCCTTCATCTGCAGGGAGATGGGGGTCACAGTCACAGATGGACTGGATGGGAACTCACCTCAAGGAGTCAGAGGGGCTCATTTTCCTCCATGTGGGAGTCCAGAGAGCTTACCCTCACCTAGGGCTGGAGTTCCTGGGTTCCCACCTCAGCCAAGGATTAGGGTGTCAGGTTCTCACCACCTCCTTGGTTGGGGTTTCAGTACTTACCCCCATCCAGGGTTGGAGGTCCCAGGATTCTCACCACTAACCAGGGTTGGGATATCACAGGGCTCATCACCACTCAAGTTCAAGGTCCGAGGGGGCTCACCCCTAACATAAGTTAGGGTTCCGGGGGCATTCACGTCCACCCAGGGCTAGGGTCCTATCTACCCAAGCCTAGAGGTATAGGGGTCACCCCTTTAGTTGGACACAGTGGTAGCTCACTCTCATCCAGAGTTAAAGTCCAGGGCCCTTACCACTCAAGTCAGTGTTCTTTTGGGCTCCTCCGCTATCCAGAACTGGGGTCCCAGGGAACTCACCCTCAATAGGTTTAGGGTCCCGAGGACTCACCATCCACTGGGTCAAGATGCCCCATCTATCCAAGGCTGGGGGCCCAGTGCCTCACCCCCCTCAAGGGTCAGGGTCCCACAGACCCACCATCCGCTCTACAATGATGATCTTAGGACCCAACTGCTTGTGAATGGCAAAGATGTGGATGAGCCGAAGTGTGAACACCATGAAATCAATGGCCAGAACAGTGCGGCCAGCCTCAAACACCGAGGGCAGCATCCTGGAGAGAGACAAAGGCTAGGTAGGGCTGTTGGTACCCACAGAGGGCCAGAGGCTTTCCCCAAGACACAGTATACTGGCTAAAATGGCCAAAAGGCAGGTTCCAGGACCATGCTAGGATTTCAGAGAGCTGAGTGGGTCCCCTAGGGCCTGCCCACCAGCCCGTCTGAGGCTACAGACCTACAGGTGACACCAACAATGAACAGGAAGATGGCCACCATGTCACACTTGTTCCAGTTGTCCTCCACATACAGGGTGAATTTCTTCACCAGGTGTGTGTCCTCATCTGTAAAGAAGCCCTGACAGAGGGAGGAGGTCTGGTTACAGCAGCCAGGTCCACCTGGATGAGACCAGGGTAGACTCTGCATGTATCAGGGCTCAGTTTGTCAAGCTGATCAGAACTAATTGGGGACTAGGACCCAGTGTATGGCTAGGATTGGGAGTATCATTTGAAGAGATTTCAGGGCTAAGTCTGGGACAAAAAGTAAGGTCAAGCTGAACTTGGAGTCAGGGCGGTCTGGGACTAAAACTCAGGGTCAATTTACATTGCATGTCTGGACTTAGCCAATGACTCAGGTCAGGGTTCAGACTCTGACTAGGGAATCAGGATCATGACCAAGCTGGAACAGGGATTGGGGCTCAGGATGGAGCTGAAATCAGCTCTGTTTGTGATCGTGATCAGGGCTCTGACTGTGACCAACATCAAGACTCTGACAAGGATCAGGGCTTATTCTGATCAAGATAAGGGCTTGGTCTGGAGCTGGGATTGGGGCTCAGTCTGTGACCAGGACCATGATGCAGTAGACTGGGTTGACAAGAAGGCCACACAGTGGTCTTGTTCTATAGATGAAAAGTCTTAGCCCCCCAGAGCAGGCCCCACCTGGAGCTACATCTAACATAGCCTGAGTTGCAGAGCCCAGGAGTAGGCCATGCTGTCCACTGACCTGTCGGATTTCCTCCAGCACCAGTGTGAACACCCAGAAATAGAGGGTAACCTCAGACCCAGATGGCCCCTGGGGAGGTGGCCTGAAGTCTACCAGCAGGACATAGGTGAACAGGAAGAGGAATGCAAAGTACATGACCACATTCCCCAGGAACACAGTCACAGGAGCTCCCCAGAACTTCCTCCACCGTGTGAGCAGGAAGGCGGCCTGTGGGCCTAGATCGCCTGGAGCCCTTGGCGTCTCTGTCAGCTTCTCCAGTCTGTGTGGGTGTGGAGGAGGTCACCATGGTGAAGAGGCACCTAACCACGGTACCCCCATGGGAGCCTGCCTCTGTCTACCTGTGTTCAGCCACTGGCCACTGCTGAGTGGTAGTCCTTACTCTCTCCATCCTTCCCAGCCTCCTCCATTCTTCTTAAACTTCATGCTCCCCAGCCTTGTCTATCATTCTGGGCCCCACTCTGTCCCTTCTGTAGTCCCCTCCGTTTTTCCTGCCCTCTGTCTTTCTGGGCCCGTTCTGTCTTCCCCACTTTCCTTGCTCCTTCTGTCTTTCCTCACTCCATCCTTCCTGGCCCCCTCTATCCATTTCACCACCCTGCCACCCCTTACTGGCCGCCCTGGTTGCACAGGAAGCTCTTTTCCACATCCAAGCTGTCCAGTTCCTGCAGATCTTCCAGGTCCATCCTCTGTGGGACATCCTCACTGCAACACAGGGAAGGATATCCGAAGCATACAGAGAAGGAAGTACTAGGCCCACCGAGAAGAAGGAGGACTCATATAGTCAACTGGACATTGGGCTATGAGAAGTGGGAACAGTGAGAGACTCTGGCACCTGCATAAACCGACCTGAAGGTGATGAGGTTGGTATAGATGAGCGCCGGGCAGGTGAAGGCACCCAGCAGCCGTAGGATGGGCGTGCCTGTGGCCATGTCTCCCCACCAGATCTTGGTCAGGAATGCCTAGAATAAAGTCACATGTTCTGAATGCCTATCACCACACTTTCACTCACATAGGGCCCTGTGCCTGAGATGCTCTTCCCAGACCCCTTTCAAGCCCCCTCCTGGAGCACCTGCTCTGGCAGGAGGTCAGACTCTCCAGGGGCATGTGTTGGACTGTTTGCAGCCTGCCTGCCTTCCCTTCTTTTTTCTTTAGGGCAATCTCATATAACTCAGGATAACTATGAACTACATAGCTGAAGATGGCCTTGAACTCCTGATCCTCCTGTTTCCACCTCCGTAGTGATGGGATTGCTCACGGACCACTACAGCTGATTTATTCAGTTCTGGGGATTGAACCCAGGGCTTCATGCATGCTGTACACTCTATTAAATGAGCCACATCCCCAGCCCTGTTGTAACCTTTCAAGAACAGAATTATGGATTGGGATTAAGGACAACCAAACTGAGAACAGGTGTTGCTGGGTCTGAGAACCAAGCTAAAAAAGCATCCCTGATGAAGGAAGCTAGAACCCAGCCACTCTTCCTGGTCCCTCCCCTATGTAGCTTGGGTATGGGCTGGAAGCTGTAGACTGGGACATTATTAGCTGAGATACCTAAGTGTCCTGGGTGGGTAACCTGGGCCCCGCCAACCCTTCTTATCCTCAAGCCATCCTTAGGCCGATCAGCCACTCACTTGCACACCATCATGGGCAAAGAAGGCCTTGGCATCAGCTTCAGTGGCCAGGTGCAAGCAAGTGGTCCTGCTCCAGCTGTGGTTCCTGCGCACCAGCAGGGCAAAGGCACGGTCCTCACTGTTGCTGTAGCACTCAGAGAAAAGATCTGCACACGAAGCCAGCTGCTAGGATGGGGTGCTGAAGCCTGGTTCCTGGGTCCCCGTCCTCTGCAGCATATATCCTGCATCTATTTTCTAGGGTCTAGCCAGGCCTCCCATGCTACAGGGCCACTGAGAGTCCCTGCCTGGCCCTAGGGCCCTTCCCAACCTCTGACCTTCTCTGGCCCTTCCCCTTCCCTCTTAGTACTGTGAAGGCCTCAATTGACACAAAGGGCTTCCACTCTGTGGTAGGGACCAGTACATGACTATCATGTACTGTATAACATCTGCACCTCCCTGTTAGGACTTGTTGACTAACCTCCACCCCCAGGAGGAACTGCCCTGAGTTCTGCTCTACACAGGAGGCCATGGGGGTCACCCTGAGCCACTTGCAGTAGACAGCCACTCCCCTGTCTACAGGGGAGCAGAAGCAGAGACCTTCTACCTATCACTCACCCAGGGCCAGCTGTTCATACTTGGCCTCACGCATGGTGCGGGCCACCTCCGCTTCTTTCTCCAGGTGAGACATTTCCTTTATGATCTTGCAGGCAGCCAGAGCAGCAGCCACACCCTCCTGGCCCTGGAAGATGGAGAGACAGGGTCTTAGAAGGTGGCCCAACTGTCCCAATATTCCCCAATCTGCTTCTCAGGATGTCAAGGGAGCTGTGGACTGAAGTGGCTGCTCACCATGGCCCAGAAGTATGTGGCCATCTCATAACGGTTCTGTAGCACAGCCCAGAGGAATAGGTCCCTCCAAGGGTCCTCACTCTTCCGATTGAGGTCTGGTAGCCACTTCTGGCCTGTGGGCCGCCTCTCCTGCAGAACAGGGCATGAACATTCAGCCTTCCCAGCACACCCTGGCCCAACTTAGCTCTACTCACCTCCAACCTGCGCCCATCCTGGTAGAAGCCACGGCAGGCATCATGCAGGAAATCCTTGAGTACACGGGAGACCTCATGGAGTGAGAAAGCGGGCAGTCCAACGGGCAGCTCCCGGGCCTGCTGGGCACCCAAGCCAGCCAGTGTCAGCCGGCCCTCCTCATGCTTACGCTGTAGCAGTTCAAAGAGGAGGCTCTTGGGGGACACGGAGTGGTAAAGCTGCTGCAGCCGCCCATAGGTCAAGAACTCGGCCATGTCAGCACCGCTGTCCACAAAGAGGCGCACGAAGTCAGGCTTGTTGCTCACTAGGGCATCAGTCATCACCTCTTCCAGATCGCAGGACTAGATTCACCCGGTAGAGGAGGAGATCAGCACAGTAAGAGGGAAGAAGAGGAACTGGACATCCTCCCCTGGGCACCCCAACCTGTGCCCTAAAGCTGGGGCAGGCATGGGTCAGCAGAGTATGCTGGCCTCAGGAGCTGGGGATAGGAAAGGTCTGATGAGTTGACAGTAAGAGTGTCAGGACTCCCACACCCCAGCCTGGACTTTGGGGGTTCCCTAACATCATTTTGATCTCCCCAGGGCAACAGCTGGGGCAGAAAGGGCCCAGATGACACCCCTGAGACCCCACGTCCTCGGGCCTTAGTGCATTCCCTGCCTGGTGTTCCCAAATCAGTTCTGGGTAGGGGGGCACCTTCCATTCCACGTCTCCACTGAAGATCTCGCTCTTGGCAATGTCCACACGGTCCCAGGCCACAGCCAGCTTGAGCTCGTCTAGGTAGTCTTGGGCCTCTTGGCTGTGACTCTTGCAGGCTGTGGACAGGAGTGAGTCCCACAGAGATGGAGGGGAGGGAACAGAACTCTCTGTAAGGACTTGATGGGAGTTGGCAGCTGCTTCTGAACAGCAGCAAGAGGCACAGGACTAAACCCTCAGGGACGACAGCCCAGAAGCCCCTAGATATAGTCTCGTGAGGCAGAAGCATGTTTTCAGTAATACAGCACCTTGGCCAACATTTCCTTGCCCACGAGCGGGGCAGGGTGGTACATTACCATGCAGGCACATTTCTTCCCTGGGGATGGCTGCACACTTTCACTGGAGGTCACAGTTACCCCTAAACCCCAGAATTAAGAGCACCAGGCTTTTGCCTCCATGAGACTGTGACTCACTGAAAGCCACATGTGGTCCTGTATATGGCTCCCTGGGCCTCACTGTCTTATGAAGGGGAATGGCTAAATCCAGAGCTGCCCTTTTGTAGACCAGACTGACCTTGAACTTGCTATATAGCCAAAGATGACCTTGAACTGCTGATCCTCCTGCCTACCAAATGTAAGCTACCACATCTGATTTATGTGATGCTGAAATTGAACCTAGGGCCTTGTATATGCTAGGCAAACTTTTTTTTTTTTTTTTTTTGAGACAGGATTTCACTGTGTATCCCTTGCTGTCCTGGACCTCACTCTGTAGACCAGCCTGGCCTGGGACTCACAGAGATCTGCCTGCCTCTGCTTCCCAAGTGCTGGGATTAAAGGCATGAGCTATCATCACCCTGCTCAAACATTGTACCAACTGAGCCACATCCTCACCCCCAGGTGCCCCAGGTCCTCTTGGAATGGCCCCTTACTCAGGTATGCCCCACCCTTTCCCCAACACTGCCTCTCCCAGCTTCCAGCCTGTGTTCTAGGCCAGCCCCACTGCCCCGACAAGCCTGGGTTGAAATCCAACATCTCCATCAGTGTCCAAGTGGACAGACCCACGGTATATCTATACAGTAAATGTTAGAACTCAGCCTTGGAAAGTCAGGACTTCCTGACTCCGGCTGCCATGGGGATGGGTCTGTGGGACATTGCGCTTCATGAGGAAAACTGGGTACAAACAATATACATTGTAATTCCGTTCATGTACAGTGGCCCCAAAGCTCACATCCATAGACAAAAAGCAGGTAGGGGACCAGGACCTAGGGACAAGGTGAAGTTGCTAAGGCTTTTTGGGAGGGGGTAAAAGAAACATTCCAGAATGAGTGCTGGTTACAATGCCCTGAGGCTAGTAGATTCTAAGCCCCTGATAGAAAGGCCTCAAGAATTTGTGAGTCATCTTTCCTCCCTGGGAAGGGCTGACAGGCATCCACTGTGAACACTGCTGAATCCTGCTGCCTCTGAGGGCAGGTCTACTTGGCTCACCTTTCACAAGTGCCTTGAGGATGACAGTGTCCAGGTCCTCGGAACCCTCCTGCTCGAAGTCGTACACAGTGAGTAGGTGGGGGTGCGCAGCAATGTTCTGTAGCTAAGACCAGGAAGAAGCCTTGAGGTCTGAATGGAGCCTGAAAGGGTCCTCAGATGAGCCACCCTGTCCCCACTGACCCACAAGCCTAGCTCGGGAGCACCCTCAGCCTGACAGGCTCGCTGCCTGCCTGGTCTCACTGTGGCACAAGGACCCAGATAATTCCAAGATGGGATGGGAAGAGAGGGCATAGGCAGGGCTTTCAAGAACATCCCCACCCGGGGGTTGCTAGGAGGACAGAGGCTTGGCCATCACAGCCCCCAGCAGCACGCACCAGCTCTGTCCAGTGCACAATGGCTTCCCAAGAGAAACACTCGCCAGGGAATTTCTCTCTGAACTGCTTCTCAGCCACCTGGGGCACCAGGAGATGCGGCTGGCTCACCAGGGCAGCAAGTACATCAGCGATGCCTCCAGAACCTGCCAGGATCAGCCACGGGGCAGCCTGCTCCACTGCCCTGGAGATCCTCTGGGGAGGCAGAGTGACATTCAGATGCATGTTTAAGAAGTGCCTCAGTCCTCCACATCACCCTGGGAAACCACCACATCCTCCCTGGCTCCAGTCAGGCCCCTCTTCCCCTCTGCCCTTACCTCCAAGGTTCTGGGGTCACCGTTGACCAGCAGGCAAAGGACAGGTATCTGGATGTTGCTGGTGCCTGTAGGCATAGCAGCCATGAGGCCATTTGATGCTCAGAAAGTGAGAAACTCAGGTCCTCCTCATTAGGTGGGGCAACCACCCCCAACTTCAGACCCCTTCCCCCCCACCCCAGCTACCATGTTTCTGACACACCCTGCCAAAAAGCTTCCTTCCTTCCTTTTTTTTTTTTCCTTGTTTTTTGTTTTGTTTTGTTTTTTTGAGACAGGGTTTCTCTGTGTAACAGTCCTGGCTGTTCTGGAACTTGCCTTGTAGACCAGGCTGGCCTTGAACTCACAGAGATTTCCCTGCCTCTGCTTTCCAAGTGCTGGGATTAAAGGCATGCACCATCACCACCTGGCTCTTCATTCCTTTTTTTTTTTTTTTTTTTTTTTTTTTAACAAAACAACAGGGTCTGATGGAGCCCAGTCTGGACTTGATTTTGAAATGTAGTTTAGGATGGTCCCTCTGCTTTCATCTCCAGAGTGCTGGGATTATAGGCATGTGCCAGAGTGCCTGGTTTATTCCATGCTGTGGATTGAACCCAGAGCTTTGTGTGCAACAGCCAAGCACTCTACTAACTGAGCTACATCCCCAGTCCATGGTGGCTCTTTTCCCCTCTCTCTTTCAAACCAAAGGTGAACCAAGACATTGTACCAAATCCTTGAGCCATAGGCTCAAGACTTTAACTGTATGTCTGTACTGTCCAGGGCTGGCATGTGACAAGTAAGTACAAAGTAACTTGAGAGAAATGAAGCCTTGTGGCACCCACCACATCCCAAGGGCAGCCACGCTCTGGCTAGGTAGCCACTCTCCCAGCATAGGACAGAGTCGCTCTGCATCATAAGAGACACATTGGGCCAACAAAGGGATAGTAGCTGTTGGGAGCAGCCCCACGCTGCTGGGGTCCTATGTGATATCTTTGTGGTGTCAGACACAGGTCTGTGTCCACTGTTAATGTGGACTGGCTCCACCAAAGAATTGCATGGTCCTTTGTTAATATATTATTCACACACGCTCTAAGCAATGATATAGTAGTTTATAAATATTGTTTGTCAACTAATATTTTCCCAGTCCATCTCTCTTTTACACCCTTCACTAGCCACAGTTTGTACCCATTCCTTCAGGCATTTCTGCTCCCTGGTGGCAGTGGAGGAGACTGTGACTCTTGAAAGGCTTATTGGCTAGCAGAGTCTGCAGCCAGAACAATGCCAATTAAAACAGTGGCAGCTGCCCTGCTATCTGGCCAGGAGGTGGCTGCCTAGCCAGGGCCGTACTGCCCAGCTGTGCCACTCTCCCATCCCACCCCAACAGCTCTTCTTCCCAGGCCTTGTATGCTCAGGCATGCAGCGGGGGGAGGGGGTGCTTCCTGGAAGTCCCTTTCCCACTCTCCATGAAGTTCTTGCTGGTGTGTATCATATCACCATGTCCACACCCCCAAGATGCTGCTCTGTGCAGATGGAGAGAGCCTTACCCCCATAGCCTGTCCTCTGCTGAGAGATGTGCTTCTCCAGGCTCAGCCGTAGCTCTGCCAGCCCGTCCCCACTCCCGTGGGTGCTGGGCTCCACCAGGATGAAGTGGGAGAGATTGCTGTCCAGCGGGCAGAGTGGTCCCTGGATGCTGCCCTCATCTGCAGGGTAGTGGATGGGGGTATCCTCCTGTGCCAAGTATTTGGGAAGACATGGGGAGGTGGAGACCTCAGGAGCCGCTTTGGCTGGGCCTTGCTATGCTGAGCACGCCATGCTGGAGCCCTGGGCAAGGCTTCAGCAAGGCCTCAGAGTCCCCACCCCTCAGGCAGAGGGAGGCTGGACTGCTGGGCTGGGGGGCCTCCCTGGAATGAGTGAACCATGGAAACAGCTGGGGCCAGGGCTGTGCAAGCTCCACCTTCTAGACTCTTCTGGGCTGGGGTCCAGACTTCACCTCAGTGGGGCCTCCTGGGCTTCTTATTGGTTATGCCTTACACAGTCCACGGAGTGGGGGATGTGAACAAATACCAGAGAGCAGAAGCCACCTGGACAGGGTTTCGCAGGACTTGAGGACAGCCGTCTAGCCAGGCTGGGCCCAGAGTGCTATCAGTCTAGCTCCCTAGAGGGATGCAGCAGGTTGCCACCCTTATTCCTGAGTAATGCTGCCACCTGCTGGGGAGTGCTGAGCCCCGAGGAAATAATGTCTTTCTTCCCACTGAAGCCTATCCTTGTCCCGCACCTCTCAATGCTTTGCAGGTAACATAGTCCTTCAGCCTGTCCATAGCTTCCTCTGCCTACCCAAGCTTACTGAGCCCTAGCAGCCATGGACCCATGAACCTGTCACTCACCTGGACACCATCTAGAAGCTGACGGTGAAGGATACGGTCCAGAGAGGCCATTCCAATGGCCACTACACGGACCTTGGTGGATGTGCTAGCCAGAGAGTGATCACGTACAGCCTGCCCAACGTGGCGGGCCAGGCCTACACGGAGGGCGCTCGTCAGGATCCAGGCACCTATGGGAGTTGGGAGAGAAAGGTCCTGGAGTCCTCACAGCTGGCTGGCCCAAACTCCATCCCCTAAGTCATATCTACAGTCAGAGACCCGGGAATCAGGTAATGGGAAATGCTTTTTTTCCCTTTCCCCCAGGCATGGCCTTTATAATGTAGTCTAGCCTGTGACTTGAAGTAATTCCGCTGCCTCAGTGTTCCATGTACTAGGAGTACAGTCTGCACCACCATGCCCAGCTACAGGGACCACTTTGAAGCTGATGGGGAGACTAAGGCTCCGGGAGGGTGTGTATGTGGTAGAGAGTGACCTTTCCCAAGATTTGTCATAGATGCTGCCCTGTAGCCTGTTCTGGGAAAGGACTCCATGACGAAGTTCCCACTTGCGTCTGACTGCAAATTGTTCCTTTATTATCACTTCTGCAGTGAGAGGCTCAAAACCTCCAGCCCTCTTGCCAGGTGTATACTTGTGTGTCCAGGACACCTGTGTGGGGATGGGTGCGTGTGCTGGCCAGAGGTGCCGTTCAACTTGTCTGTGCACCATAGTCTCTGATGGACCTGGAACTCGCTGATTTGGCGAGTCTGGCCTGCCAGCAAGCAAGGGATTTTCTTGTCTATTTCCCTTTGCGTTAGGATTTCAAGTACACGCCTCCATGCCCAACTTTCTGTATGGGTGCTGGAGACTAATCTCAGCTCTTTACTGAGACATCGGCCTGTGCTGGTTAGTTTTAATTTATTTTTTTTTTAAATGATGTAAGTGGGGCTGGAGAGATGGCTCAGTGTTTAAGAGCACTTGACTGCCCTTCCAGAGGTCCCGAGTTCAACTCCCAGCAACCACGCGGTGGCTCACAACCATCTGTAATAGGATCAGATTCCTTCTTCTGGTGTATACATAAAATACAAGAATAAATATATCTTTAAAAAATGGTGTAAGTGTATTCAGTATGTGCATAAGAGTGAAGCTGCCTGAGGAAACCAGAGGTGCTGAATCTCCCTGGAGCTAGAATTACGTGCAGTTTCAAGTTGCCTGACATGGGTGCTGGGAACAGAGCTCCAGTCTCCTGGAAGAGCAGTACATGCTCTTAACTGCTGAGCATCTATCTCTATGACCCCTAGGTGCTGAATTGCATAAAAGGAGAACGCTTGATGAGAACAAGTAAAGATGTGTTTATTCTCGCTGCTCTTGGCTGTGGATGGGATGTGACCATCTGCCTCGACTCTCTACCTTCGTGTCTCTGACATGATGAGCTGTGACACAGAATTGTAAGGCAGATGAATCCTTTTCTTCCCTGAGTGACTTATGGTCAGGGTATTTATCGCAGCAGAAATGAAAGTAGAGCATTCCCTGAACCCACATGTTTTCAAAATAAAGCCCAGGGATTTGATTCTGACATCTACCAGTAGCCAGGTGCTCCCCAAGAGTGGTGTGCGGGGACACACCCTAGGTGCTCCTTGGTGAACTGATGCCAGTGGGAGGCCATGGCCTGAGTGGAGTGGATAGCTCTCAGGGAGGGCCAGCTTCTGCACACCACGGAGCAGCTTGCGACCGCCTTTAAGTTCACCTGCACCACATCCCCGTGACCTGCCCCCATGGCCTCCCTAGGCACCACCAAAGGTGGCTGAGTAGGAGAAATGTCACCGAGGAATGCCTCCCCTCCCCCACCAGCGGCAAGCAGGGCAGCAGGCCAGGCAGGCCCAGCCCAGGGCGAGCCTTACCTGTGCTCTGAGCTGCTTTTACCAGCCCCTTGCGCAGGACATCCCGAAGCCAAGACTTCATAGCAAAAGGCCGCTCCTCACCCACCAGGGACACCACCAGGTTGGGGGCTGGCAGGTGCCACTCGGTGAGCAGGAGTTCAAAGAGCATAGAGGGGGCCACGCTGCTTGGCACCTTCACAAACTGCAGGATGGGGGCAGGTGGATTCAGGGTTGAGGGACAGGTAGGCAGCACTGGGGTGGGGGATTCTGGGCCTATGGTAAATGTTAGATTGGAGGGAGTTCTTGAAGGAGTCTGGGCATGGGACAGGGCAGGCCATAGAAGGGCAGGTCTTAGACCCCTCTTGGGGTAAGGCCTCTGTGTGGTATGGCCATTGCAGTGTATCTTCCCCTCGTGAGTCGGGGGTGAGGCAAGAGTCCTGAGCCTCAAGGTTCCCATTATCACAAGGGCAGGAAGCAATTCTCAACTTTTGTCCATCTGGTCGGGGTCTCTGCACTCAGATCATAAGGAATGGCCCCAGGGTGAGCAGGCCCCGGGGCTTTGAGGAGGAAGTAAGACTTGGGGATTCCAGGCATGGTGGATGTCACCCAGGTGCATGCTGCCCCTACCTTGCCTCGCTTCTTCCCGGACCCTCCGAAGTCGATCTCACCTCTGCATAGGACTGGTTCCCACCCATCATCAGTATCTGGGGGGCTTCCAGGGCAGGAGCTCTGGGCAGTTTGCATGGTGCCTTCTCTATGAGACAGATGATGGAACCCAGAGAGTGGAGTAGCCACCCTCTTCCCCACTTGACAAGGAAGACTTATCCCAGCTGACATGAGGTGGCTGTTCACCGGCTGACCCCACCTGCTGTGGCTCTACCACCTTCCTCACAGTAGCTGTGATTAGAGTCAGGCTCATTCCCCAGTGGGGACAGGGGCACAGCAAACCCACCTGCCTACCTCTGTTCCCCACACTTACCGAACTCCGGGCGTCTGGACTCTAATATGCCTGTCACGGTTCTCCAGAGGCTTTTGCAGGGGATGTCCTAGAAACCCCCAAACACTAGGTAAGGGATTCAGTTTCCCAACCCAAGGGAGTCACAGCCTAGACTGCCCCAGACAAGGTTTGAGGACATCCTGGTTTGCACCTGAGTAGGTAGGTAAGAAGGCAGGTGACCTAGTTCAGATGCAAAGGGGTTGGGAGGACAAAGCGGAGAAAAGGAGGGACCTCTGTGGACCTGGAAGTTCAGGGAGGGGAGGCCAGGAAAGGAAGACAGAGATGAAGGCTAGAATGGGAGGTGGGGACAGAAGGCAGAAAGGGAAGTCAGGAAGGGAAGTCTGTGCAGGGTAGCAGGTGAAGAGGGCAATGGGAAGAACAGGGGGACAGGGAGGGGAGCCTTGTCCTGGCTCTCCTGGCCTCAGAGGCAGAGCCAGGACCCAAACAGGCTCTTTCCCTTCAAGTTCCCGCCTTGGCAAACAGAGGATGAAGAGGCTGCCTACAGCATCTCTCACCCTGGCGGGGATCAGGTTTTCTCCCACCCACCCACCTACCTGGCCAGGCCAAGCTCCTTAGCTCCACCCTTCACTACAATGACTTGAGTGGACTGGCCTGTGCAATATTCATCTGTGTCTCCTATAGGTCTCCTGTGTTTCTCTGGTGATTTCCCAAAATCTCTAGGGCACAGCATGGCCCTACCTACCCTCATCATGCCTTGGCTCCTACGTCTGCCCTCCTGAAAGCAGGTGTCCAGCCAGGGAGGAAGAAACAGCCTATCTGACTTGGGACAGCTCTCTACACACCACTTTCCCATGATTCCCAGGTCTGCCTGGTTGTCCCATGTGCCCAGCTTTGGGGTGCCTGCATGATAGCACTTCATTCAGATCCTGCACATTTTGGAGAGAGATGCCTGTATATATCGGGGGCTGAGAAGGAGGGGGCAGGGTGGTATAAGATATGAGGAGGGTTTATTCCCTGCCTCCTGTGGAAAACCTGGACAGGGGCTGAGGCCAAGGTCCTTCCCACATGCCTCTGGAGCCAGCATGGTTATGGTGCTTCCCCCAAAGAAAATGTCCCTCAAGAGATACATCTGACCCCTAACCCCTGGTACTGCGCACATGACCTGCTATAGAAATTTGATCTTTGCAGATGTGAACTAAAGTTTACCTGTGGTGATGATTCTGTAGATGACTGACTCATTAGAATGTCCTGGTTGTGGAAGCTGAAATGCTATGGAGCCAGGGGCCAAATGATCTCGGTCTATCTTTAGCCATTTACTGCCCACCTTTATTGTCTGACCTAACATCCATCTACCAGGCAAAACCTTTAGACTGTATTCTCAGCAGACCCTAAACTTCCACCAACCCGAAAGCCAAGCATGTCATCAGACAGCATCTGAGGCTACAGCAGAGATCCCCCACGTGGCTGCTGTAGCCTACCTACCTGGTCTTCCCACCAGTGCATTTGATAAATGTCTCGACTTACTATTGTCTTTGTTCTGTGACTACAAAGGTTATTGTAACCATGGCTAGAGTGGAACATGTCCTTTGGAGCCTCATTGGCTATAGCCACTCATATCTGCTCAGTATAAACTAAACTAACTCTTGCTTTTGGTGCAGGAGCACTGTTTCATGTTGCTGTAGGTGTAATTGGGATATCCTAAGCTGTTGCATGGACTAGGATGGACTCTTTACCCAAGGTGGGTGTGGGGGAGATTTGGAGGTTGGACCCTCAGAGGTGGCAGAGGTAGGAAGGTTCCTCCTGTAGCCTGTCTGGCTTGGGCAGACAGGAACTTCTTGGGTCTGCTCTAAATGCTGTGGCAGGGGTTTTTGTGGCCTCCCTCACCACACTGGCATGCTGGTTAATTTTTTTCTGTCAACTTGACATAAGCTAAAGTTATCTGGGAGGAGAGAATTAACATCAGAGAAAACGCCTACATCAGATGCCCTGTAGGCAAGTCTGTGGGACATTTTTTTTGAGTAACAATGGATGTGGGAGGGTCTAGCTCACTGCAGGCAGTAGCACCCCTGGGCAAGGGGTCCTGAGTTCTATAAGAAAATCAGCTGAGTAAGCCATGAGGAGCAAGCCAGTAAGCAGTATTCCTCTATGGACTTTGCTTCAGTTCCTGCCTCTGCATTCCTGCCTTGAGTTCCTGCCCTGACTTCTCTTCATGATGGACTGCAAACTGCAAACTGAAATAAACTCTTTCCTCTCCAAGTTGCTTTTGGACATGTGTTTATCACAGCATCAGAAAGCAGAGTAGGATACCTGGGCTTCACTTTGGGCCTCCAGACCAAGAGTGGCTTCTCACCCTGACTTTCCAGTGTATGGCCCTGTATGAAGGCAGCCTCCATAGGTCAATGTGTAGCCATAGGCGAGTCCCCTCCCTTGTACCTGGTTCATGTAGCCAGGCACAGCTCCTTGGTTCCTTGGGTCCCCTGCAGCCCATCCTGCCCCAGTTATGGGAAATGTAAATCCTCCCCACCCACAGCAGGAGCTCACACCCAGAGCCTGTGGAGGGTAGGATTTGAATAAGCCCTTCCAGCCACAGAAACAAACACCCTATAGTTTTCCTGTGAGGATCTGGCTGGGTTCACAGGCATGCCCCTGTGTGCTGGAACAAACACCATAAGCTGGGAGACCTGACCTAACTGAGGCACACTCCTGAAGTGTTAGGGACAGAAACCCCAAATCCAGGCATGGACAGGCTATGGCCTTCCCCAGAACTCTGAGGACATCCTCCCTGGTCTTTCAGTTCCTGGGGTTTCCAGGCGTCTCTTGGTTTGTGGCCACAGGACCGCAATCCCTGCCTCTGTGGTCACAGAATTGTGCCTGTGCATGTCTGTTCTCTCCTCTTCCTGTAAGGACCCCATCACTGGGCCAGGGTTCCTACCTTCTCTCTAACCCATCTGCAAAGACTGTTTCCAGACAAAACTACTGTCTTAGGGTCCATGCGGGTACCATGCCACCACAGTAAGCTCTGCTATTGGAAACAGAGTTTCCTCAGTCATATCTGGACACGCACTATGCAGTAAGAGAGGTGACCCAAGCTGTATGTGTACCCTGGCTTTGGGAGCCATGTTTGTTCCTGGTCTTTGGGCTGGGGATGGGACCTCCCACTCTTCTCCTCACTTAGTCCGTGGTGGGAAGGTCATGGACAGCCTCTTTTGGCCCAGGAGAGGAGTTCTCTGGGGCTCCCTGAATCCCTGAGTGTTTCTTTCCCAAGGACTAGACCCTAGATAGAGTCTTCCAATATGGGGCTCAACAAGGCACCCCCACTCATGGGCAGTGTATTGGACCTGCTAATCAGGTCACCTTGCCTTGCTTCAGGATAGACTGGGTGAGTGGTCTGGGCCCCTGGATGCCATGTGAGGCAGACACAACACTCAAGAACTGCCAGGCCTTGCTTTCCCCACCAAGCATTTGGGCAGGTGCCAAGTACCAGGCAAATGTGGCCACCAAGAGGGAAGGCATGCAAATAGGATTTGCATGTGCAGGTGTCTGGGTCTTAAATAACCCCCTCTTTATTGGTGGTTTTTTTTTGGAGGGGGGGGTTGGGCTGCATAACTCTGGCCATTATGCTATGCCAGAACTCAGAAAGACAAAAACTAAACATTTAATCCCAGGGCAGTGGAGACCTTGGGGGCTCTTACAAGCTGAGGTGGTCATAGAAACAGCCTGAACTAAATGCACTTTTCACCCCCTAACATGGGAAGAGCCTAGGGCATGGTGGAGCTGGCACCCAGACCTTGGGGGTCCTAACTCTATTTGTCCCCAAATTCTCTGTGCCAGCTCACAGTGATATGTGGGTAAAACCATAATGATAAGAAGGGACAGAAAGGTCACCACATACAGGCATGAAATAGCATGGCTCCTCTCATCTCCTCAGTGAGGACACCTGGCGCTCTTAACAGAACAGGACATGGACACAGCTATGAGGAGCCACCTTCTTCTCCCCCCTTCCCCCCTTGCCCAGCCTCTGAGCCCTGACTGACTTTCTGGCAGATGTAATTCCCAAGTCTGAGGCTCACAGTTTGGATTATCCTCCACCCAGATCCTCCCAAACATTGGGGTAGCCCCTTCCCTTGCCCATGGTAGACTGTTCCTCTGATGCTACAGGAAAGAGGGGCTCCATCCCTGATAGAGCTGAGGAAAGAAGAGCATGAGGCAGGAGTGTGGCTAGAACACGGCTCCTACTTGCCCTTCCTACCTGCCCCACAGAGAAGCTGGGCACTTCTCTGGCCCCATTCTCTGTGCAAGCTGGCTCTGGTGTGAGCTTACCTGCCTGTTTCTTCCAGACTCCTGGCATGTGGCTGCTGGTGCCGAATGGTGGAGCCACTCACCTACTGCAGGCTGTGTCCCCCTTTGCTCCCCCCACATACCACACCTGGCACCTGGCAGCCAATGGTGTCCCAGAAAGCTGGGTGTGAGTGGACATAGGGTACCACCCAGCCATCAAAGGCAGGATTGGTGCCATTGGTCTGAGAGCACATCTGAGCTGGCAAGGAAGCTGTGCTCACTGCTAAGAGGGCATGAATGATGTACGGGTCCTGTCCCTTCCATCCATGGGCTTAGCCTGGTGTGGGCAATGAAGTCTGGGTGACTGAACTCTAACATGAGGTCAGATGGGAATTCTGCTTCATTTCTCACAAAGCCCAAATTTCTCTAGTTGAGGAAACAAGGATTGTATCAAGACTATGTGACCCATGCAAAGATGTCTAGCAAGCTATCCCAAGGAGGACAGGCAGGCAGAAGAACTATCCCTCCAGGTCCCAGGAGGTCTGGAGGTGTCTGCCCTGCTCTGTGGTATACCATCCTCCTGGAGAATCCCATGGTGCAGGTGAGCTGAGTACTATCTCCTTACCAGTCAGTTAGTGCCTTGGGGGCTGCGTGAGGACTGCCTCTAATCAGGGCTCAGGACTGATGCTTGTAGGACAGACCATATTTTCTGTGGCTGCTCTCCTGTTGATCCATCCAGCTCCTTCAACACTCTTGAGTCCCAGTTTCTCTGCCTGTAGACAGAGATCTTCGAGCCCAGTTTCCAGACAGCTGTGGTTAACTGGGGAGGAAGGACCCTCCTGACAGCGTTTCTGTGAGCCCTTCCCTCAGAGACCCCAGGACCTGGTCCTCATCCCCCTGCCATGAGCTCCATAGGGTTGGGGGTTGGACAGCAGCCAAGGACCCAACATTAACCACCAGAGGGCGCCAGGACCATAGGCCGAGGCAGGACAAAGGTCTTCTGGTTTTGCCCTGAGTGAGAGGGCCACAGTTACTTGCCCATTTGGACCGGCATGTTCCTTAGCACGCCTATAGTGTTACTCTGACATAAGCCAGGTTCATTTAAGGTCCTTCTGGAATTACGAGCTGGGCTGGGGCCAGAAGCTCAGGACTAGGTCCAGACACTTAGGCTCTGCAGGGCTGGGACCACAAGCTCTCAGGTCTGGAAAGCTAGAGGGTCCAGATCCGGAGGAGGGGACATCTTGGGGGGCCTAGGTGGAAGGGCCAGCCTTCAGCCTTGCACAAGGCCAGAGTCCATTGGATTCTGGAGGTCCAGCCTGAGTTCATGACCACCCAGCAACCCAGGGCCTGGCCTTCCTATGGCTCCCACGGTGTCTGGGGTATATGGAGAATATATACACAACCCTTCCTCCATCTGGTGCTGCCCCTTTACCTCCATCTTTTGGTCACTTGAAGGGCTGCAGTAAACATTCCCTAGCCCTTCCCGGGCCCGTAGCATGTTGTGGTTCTCCTTACCCACAGCCTTTCACGGCCCCCTATTACCCTAATAATCAAACCCAGAGAGGCCCTGGTACTTTTGCTTCTGCTGCCTTGAAGCACTGTGGAGTATTTCCTAGAGGCTCCTTTGTCACCACAGGCTCCTCTGGGCTGCAGAGACCCCTCCACGCAGGACCACACCAGGACAGGGCACCTCCCTTGTAGCTCTCCTCCCAGGCACCTTGGCCATATTGCTCAGTGTTTTTTGCCTTGCCATCTGAAATGGTGTTTTGTTTCCTCATTTGCCCACTGGCAGCTGCTTCCCCCACAGGACTGTTGGACACTGGGCGGTCACAGCCAACCCCAAGTGCAGAATATGACTGTATACAGAACATGTGCTCAAAGGAAGCTGTGCGTTTAGACAAGTGCGTGCCTGGGCATGTGCATATGCATGAGTCATATGGAGGCCTAGGTGGGGTCTGGGGAGACAGCCATTTAGTGGGAAACAGCTTGCAGCTGTTCCAGGACCCTGGGCAGATAGACACTAGGACAAGGCTCAGCTCCCTCACATGCTCCCAGCTGTGAGTCCTGTGACAAGGGGAAAGAGAATCAAGGTGCCATGGGGGAGGGACATCCAAATCGACCTCAGCAACTGCTTCCCCACATTGCTCACTATGGCTTAGCTGGTAGCCACTTCTGTCTCTCTTGTGGTTGCTCTGGCTGGTGCCAGGAGGATACTTCCTCTTGGGTGAGGCTGTGTCCCAGAGGGTAAGGCTCTAGCGAGGGCTGGTCCCACCCCAGTTTGTGTCCGCGGGGTAGCAGTTTTCCTCCCTACTACCGACTGCACAGCCTCACTAGCTGCCTGCCATGCCCACCTGATCAGAAGTCAAGTCCAGCATCCATGAGAGCCAGTGTTCTTACGTAGCCTGAGCTATCTCTGAGGCTGACACTTAGGTCTAGGCTGGAGCTGAAGAGGCCAAAGTCCTAGCCTCCTCAGCCTGCAGAACTCTGCACCCAAAGGCCTCCAGCATATTTTTGGGGAGGGAAACTGCCTCCCAGGGCCTTGCCCCATCTTGCCTCTAGACTCAGTCCTGTCTCAAGCTCTCTGAATGCCCTCTGTGGAGCAGAAGCACTCTACTTCCTCAGAAATTCTTCAGCTCTAGCTCTGGCACTTAGGGAACTTAGACCGCTCCTTCCCACAGCAGTTCTAAAGCCCTATGTGGTCCTCATGACCTTAGCACCTTATTGGCCCAGGATTTTTGTCCAGTTTTCTGGACTCTTGTCTGTGGTCTCTAACCCAAAGACATGGGCTGGGAAGGCAGGGACAGGGTAGCAGGCCTTAGGCCTGAGCTCTGTCTTATCAGCCTGGACCTGGTCCTGGCCCTATCCCACAGATGTAGACCAAGGTCAGAGGAGCTGAGGGACCAACTCAGGGCTCTTGCCAGGCCTCATGGCCCCTGACCTCTCCTCTTGCCATCTGGTGGCAGGCCCAGCCCTTACAAGAGCTTGTCAGTCACACAGCAGAGCTGGAAGTACAGGATAGCACAATGGGGTGGTTGAACCAACTCCAGCAACCAGAGCATGCCTCAGTTATAGAAGTTAATGGCTGCCTGACTCCATGGCCTGCACCAGGATTCTGTGCACACATCTGTACACCAAGATGAGTATGCCTAGGATAGCACCCAGGATGTCTTGAGGACATCACTCACCCATTAATCAATCACCCATCTACCCAAGTATCTTGTTTTATAATCTGTGTGTGTGTGTGTGTGTGCGTGCGCGCGCGTGCATGCACACGCACATGTTTTTGTGTATGAGTACAGATGTGTGCATGCCACAGAGTATGTACAGATGACAGAGAACAACCTTGGATGTCAGTCCTTGTGAGACAGGGTCTCTTCTTTGCCACCACACACACGAGGCTGGCTGGGCCCTGTGCTTCCTGGGAATCTCTTGTCTTCACCTCCCATCTCACTGTAGGAGCACTAGGATTACAGACACACACTGTCATGTCTGGTTTTACGTGGACTCTGAACTTATCTTTATGGTTGTGTGGCAAGTGTTTTACCCACTGAGCCATCTTCCTTGACTCTATCCAAGCATCTGACACTCTCCACTTTCTGCCCATGATTCCACCCACCCAACCCTCCAGATACATTAATCTATGTATCACCATCCATCCATATAGCCATCTGAGTTAAGCAACCTTCTCCAGAGGAACAGAACTCATAGAATACATACAGATTATTAATGAGATTTATTGTATTGCTTCCATGATAGGGACCAAGTAGTCTAATAATGGCCATCTGTGTGCTGGAGAGGCTGAAAACCCAGTGTCCACTCAGTCCACGAAGCCAGTCAGTCACCTCAGTAGTCTCAATCTGTTCCAATCAGGCTTGGAAGATCCCAGGAGAATCATTGGTGTTCAGTCCATGCTGGAAAGCCAAAGCAGCTGTAGTTCAAAGTCAACAGAGGACAGCATCAGCAGTGATGCACACACTTGCTCAGGAGGAAGAAGCAAGGGAAGGTGGACATTTTTCTTGGGACCTCTTTATACCAGGATCACTTTTTGTGTGGGCCTTCCCCGATCTTAATCCTCCCTAGAAACACCCTCTTAGATACACCCAGAGACAATTCTCCAAGGTGATTCTAAATCCTGTCAAGTTGACAATCAAGACTAATCAGGCCATTCACTTACTGATCCATCCATTCCTCCATCCACCCATCCATCCAAGCATCTACCTATTCATCCCATCCATCTATCTTGTTATCCATCTGCCTTAGTTAGGGTTTTTATTGATGTGAAGAGACACCATGACCATAACAACTTTTATAAAGGAAAACATTTAATTGAGGTGGCAGCTTACAGTTTCAGAGGTTTAGTTCATTATTGTTGTGGTGGGAAGCATGGTGGCATGTAAGCAGACATGGTACTGGAGAAGGAGCCAAGAGTTCTACATCTGGATCGGCAGGCAGCAGGAAGAGAGAGTGTCACTGGGCTTTGCTTGAGCTTCTGAAAACTCAAGGCCCACCCCCAGTGACAAACTTCCCCCAACAAGGCTACACCTACTCCAACAAGGCCACATCTCCTAACAGTGCTACTTCCGATAGGCCTATGGGGGCCATTTTTATTCAAACCACCACACCATCTATCCACTTACCCATTCATCTATCAGATCTACCACTCATCACCATCTATCATCCATCTAATTATCCATCTATCCTTACATCCACCCACTTATGCCTCTATCTGCGTAGTTATTACCATCCATCTGTCTATCCATTCATCCACCTATCCACTAGCTACTCATCCATTTACCCATTTATATATCTGTCTACCCAGATAACACCATTCATCCATCCATCCAATCAGCTGGCCACCCATCCATTCACCTACTCATCCATTCATGCAAATTCCCACATACTATCCACTTACCATCAACATCCAAGCACCCATCTGTCTATGCAGCCACCCACTCATTTCTCTCCAGTCACTCATTCACATTCAGCAGGCTCTCTGTGCCTGGACTCAGTGAGGCGAATCAGCTCCCTGCCACACAGTGCCCACACATGGGAATGTTGGCAGCTGCTTCACAGTCTCTGGGTCACATAAGGGCCAGGGCTGGTCAGAGCACTTGAGTGGCATGTGAGGTTCTCATGGGCTTCCTCCCGGCATCTGTGTGTCTCACAGAAGAGATCTTTACCTCCTGAAGCTGAGGCCTTGCTGTCCATTGCTCCAGCCTTCCCCACAGTGTAACTAGCAAGGTTAGAAATACAGTAGGTACCTAGTAAATGCTGTTGGCAGCTGAGTCATTCCTGCCTCCTCTTTCATCCCTCAGTTGCCTTGCCCTTGCTCTGGGCTCCGCCCTTGTGTGGGGCCATGGTGGCTTCCCATGGTGAGCCCTTCCAGCTGTTTGTCCAGTTTGTATCACCAATGAGGACAAAAGTTTTGGCTGGGACTGCCCACCATGGCATTGAATTTGCCTAGGGATATCCAACATATTTCTATCAGTCAAAGCTTGATGGCTTAACAGATGCCCAGGATGGAGCACTGTTGGGCTAGAGGTATCTGGGAGGCCACCAGTCAAGGGATCCTGAGTGTGGTGGGCTGTGTTTTTGAACAGGCTACTACCACAGACTTCTGAGGAAGGTCTGAGACCTTTGAGGCCCTGGGACTGTTCTCCATGACACCCACTTAGAAGGAGAGGAGTGGATTCTGAGGTAGATGGGGGCAACTCCCTGAAAGGGGACCCTTCAGTATTTGCTAAAACTGACTCTCCCAGCATAAGGCATGTGCCGACAGTCCTCAAATTTTTAAAGATCTTTCCTTGGGTTTGGAAGATCAGTGCTGACTCCAGAACAATGTATAGAAGGGCTTTCCATGGCTAGGCTGGGCCTCAGAGGTATAGGTGGGTGTCTGGAGACCTCAGGCAGCTTTACCAGAAGGCTCATCTAAAGGTAAGCACTATGGTAAGTCTCTGGTACCTCGCCACTGACTTGGTGCTGGTGAGGGAATGAGGGGGTGCAGTTTGCCGAGAAAGTCTGCTCACCAAGTGACTCTCATATAAATTGGGTATAGCTGTGGCCCTGTGGGGTGGTTCCTACCTCCTTATTGGGCTGCTCCCCTCTGAGCACACCCTTCCTACTGTGCTCTTAGGAGCCTGTCCTTGCAGCCGTCACAAAAGGTTATTTATGTGTGTCCAACACACATGGGCACTGCACACTTACACATAACCCTCAGTATTCCCAGCTGGTTCCCAGTTTGGCATCTTGGAAGAGGCGAGTGTGGGTGGGTGTGGCCTGTGAGTAAGGGGTGGTAGAATGACAGCAAGCCAGCTCCTACCACTCTGCCCTCATGCTCCTGCACTCTCCTGGTCTCAGTGAGGCCTAGACCAATTCTCAGGGCTCCATGAGAGAGAGGAACACCCAGGGAGACCCCATTTTTTGACTCTACATATGCGTAAAGACCAGCTCATGGGGCAACTTTCTCCATGAATGTGTGCTTGGATTGTCTGTCCAGCCTTCGCCCACAAGGCAAAGCACAGTGGGTCCTTGGTACGCCCAGTGAAATGACTTCAGAAACAGTGTGAGTGGGAGGACAAGACATCAGGCCTGGAGGACTCTGGACAAGTCCAATCTTGCCTTTGTCCTACTGTGACCCCTGAGTCCCTTCATGGGAGGGAATAGTGCTGGGTCCTGCCCAGTAGCACCACCTCAGTGCTTGCCTAGAGAAGGTCCTAGGTCCCCCTTCCCAGGCCTGAGAGCAAGCTGATTGACATGATGGATCTTTATGTGCTCAGATGAGGAGAGGACACCCCAGGAGCTGCCTGTAAGGTTCAGGACAGATGGAAGTTCAACCCCACTGCTGGGTGTCCCATCCACAAGGATAGTCCCCAGCCAGGAGGACCCACAGAGAGATACCAGTGGCTCACAGTGGTAAGCACCTGTTCCTTATGCCTTTCCCTTGGCCATCCATCCATTTAGCATTGAGTGTCTACTGAATGCAGAGAACTTCAACAGCAATTTTTCCCCTAAGTGAAGAGTCCCTGTGGGGACACCTTGAGCCCTCAGTGAGTGTTCTAGTTCGATTTATGTTTTTGTGATACAACACCCTGAACAGAACCAACTTAGGGGAGGAGAGGCTTTATTTCACCTACCAAGTCACAGTTCACTGTTGGGGGAACTCAAGCAGGTATTTGAGGCAGAAACCATGGAGGAACACAACTAGCTGGCTCAGTCACAGGCTCATACATAGCCCAGGATCACCTGCTGAGGGAATGGTGCCATCGTCATGAGCTAGGTCTTTCTATATCAATCAACCATCAAGAGAATCCCCCACAGACATGCTGCTAGGCCCATCTGGTCAAGGTAATTGGTCAATTAAGGCTTTGTACATCAGATAATTCTAGGTTGTGCCAAGTCTGCTCATTATTTTACTCACCCCTACATGATGGCTCCATGGCAGTGCATGCAAGACTTTGGGGATGAATGGATGGGAAATGAATCTGAAGAAAGATAACATCTGGGAAGTCTTTGGAAGTCTGACTGTCCCAACAGCCCTTGGCTGATAGACTCTGGTCCTCACAGAAGACATCAGCCCTAGTTTTCCTAACCTCATGACAGCCTCCGAGGCACCTCCTGTTGTTGCCCTCTGACCTCACCAGATGAACAAGGAATGAGTGGGTGACAGGATGCAGATGGATTGGCAGAAAGTCCTTAGAAAGTCAGCAAGTAGAATGGTGGGCACCGGGTTTCCATAACATCTCAAGGCTTGGAGATAGGTAGTGAGAAGGGGCTCTCCCAGGATGCACCCTGGTGGGGTGTGTGTGCCCCCTCGATGACTGTGGGAGTGGAAGGTGCTTCCTTGATAAAGGAAGAATTCTGCAGAGAGCAGGTGGCGTCCCGGAGTCCCATGTCCAGAGGCTCAGACCTCCATGGCCTAAGCAATCTGCTCATTCTCTACCTCAGGAGATTTTTCTCTTCTTGGCTGATGGGCCCCTCAGGGGTGCTCACCCACCTCCACAGTAGCCACAGACTTGATCCCACCCTACTACCACCCATAGTCAGGGCCTTTTGTGTTTCCTGATCTGGGGCCACCGGCCTTTACTTTCTTAGCTTTAGCCTCACCCTGAGCCCAGCCCATCTTAGCTCTGTGCTCACCGGTACACCTGGAGTCCATCATCCTTGGTTCCCACTCTGCTCAGCCACCGCCCCCTATTCTCTGGCCAGCTTTTTGGAGAGGGCACGGACCTCATAGCAGCCCCTTTAAAGCCTCGCTTCTGCCTTGGTGTCCTCCAGAACAGATTCCTTGTTCAAGGCAGGACAGGCATCCCCAAGACCCTTAAATAAAAACAAAACCTTTACTTGTTGTGTGTGCAAATGCAAAAACAAAGTGCAAATGTGTGTTGGAGGTCAGAGGATAAGTGTGTGTGTTTGTGTGGGGGGTGTCTCTGTTCTCTCCTTCCATGTGAATCACAGGGATCCAACTCAGACTGTCAGACTCAGTGGCAAGCACCTTTACCCACTGAGCCATCTCGAAGGTCCTAAGAGAGCATTCTTCCCTTTCTCCGTCTAGGGCAGACCTGGGCAGCTATTAGTATAATTGAAAAATATGGAAATGTGCATGAAAATAAAGAGCTCAGTATAATGCGTGCATTCAGTGTAGCTTCAACAATCCCCAATTCAGAGGCAGTCTGGTTTAATCTGCACCTGACTCCCTATCCTCTTCCTGTTGATCGCTGCAAAGCAGTTTCCCTGCGTCACATACTCCTAGCCACACATTCTTCCGTGTGTACCTCTGGCAGGCATGGCCTCCTCGCACCCTGAAGTTGGTACAGAGAAGGCAAGGCAGGCCATATTCTACCCCACCCTCCCCTCTAGTTTTCAGAACAATGAGCCAAGCAACTGTCCAAGGACAATGAGGACTTTCCAAGTCTCATTATGAACAAATTGGGTTTTAGGATATTTGGCATGCTTTAATCTGTATTTTTGTTTGTTTTTGGAGATAGGAGCTCACTCTGTAGACCAGGCTGACCTTGAACTCATGGAAATCCTCCTGCTTCAGCTTCCTGGATTCAGGGATTACAGATGTGAGTCTCTATTCGAGGCTTCCATAATTGTTTGTGCTGTTTGAATTCTTCTGTTATTACTCAGACCCTTCCAAAAATGTGTGTGTGTGTGTGTGTGTGTGGTGTGTGTGTGTGTGTGTGTGTGTGTGTGTGTGTGTGTGTGTGTGTGTGCACAAGTATGGGTATACATTTGTGTGTGGGGTGTACATGTATGTGCACAAGGGTATGTTTGTGTGAATGGGTATACATGTGTGGAGGCCAGAAGACAAATTTCTGGTGTTGTTCCTCAGGGGCAGTCCACCTTGATTTTTGAGACAGGGTCTCTACATAGCCCTGGCTGTCCTGGAACTCACTGTGTAGACGAGGCTGGCCTTGAACTCACAGGGATCTGCCTGCCTATGCATCCTGAGTGCTGGGATTATAGGCATGAGCTACCATGCCAAGTTTATGCCCCACATTTTTATGTGGGTTCTGGGGATTGAACTCAAGTCCTCCGGCTTGCACAGCAAGCATTTTACTGACCAAGCCACCTCCTCGGCCTGCTCCTTCCAAAGTTTCAGTGGATATAACTATAAAGTAGTTTTGAGAGAAAATAACGGAGGAAGGAGATTATGGTACTATTTCAAACTCACATTTAAAGATTTGTTTGTACTTCTTTGATTTTACGTCTGTATCTTTTATATCTTGGTTCCTAAGGAACTCAAAAGGATTGCTTATTTGATATGTAAACATATATGTTTGATTTGTTCAGACAGTCAGCACTCCATATCTCTAGGTTCTGCAACCCACACCAGGTGGAAGATATTTGAAAAACAAATTACATCTGGAATGGACTAGTGCAGACTCTTATTCTTTCCCCAACAGTATAATGCAGCAGTACTTGAGCTGGCATTCCCATTGTGCTAGGTATTTTGAGGAATCTAGAGATGGTTTGAGCTATGCTGGAGGGTGTAGTAGGTTCTAAGAACAGACTATACTGTTTTATGTGAAGGACTTGAGCACTGAGTATTTTAGCCTGGGGGCATCTGGAGTGGGTCCCTGCCAATATTATTACTGATGGTTCAATTTGTGTGACTGTGTTAGAGTATATAATTCAACAGACTGAAGGATACTGTATTGTGTGTGTGTGGTGTGTGTGGTGTGCATTCACATGTGTGTGCAGATGCATGCACCTGTGAGCATGCGCAGAGGGCAGCAGAGGGCCTCTGGTGTCCTGCTGTATCACTCTTCGCCTTGTTCTTTTGAGGCAGGGTCTCTTTCTTGTTCAACCTAGAGTTCAAGTTTTTTTCAGTTAGGCTGGAGCCAGAAGTCCCAGAGTCCCTACCCCCAACCCCTCAGTGCTGGGGTTATAGACATGCACAGGGTCACACCTAGCATTTATGTGGGTGGTGGGATCTGAACTTTGGCCTTCATGCTTGAGAGGCAAGCACTCTTAAGCACAGAGACATCTCTCTATCCATTTCTTGTCTTTTGCTAAATACAAGGCATGTTTCAGTACAAGGTTTATGTGTTCATTCTCTCTTTCTCTCTTTCTCTTTCTCTCTCTTTCTCTCTCTCTCTCTCTCTCTCTCTCTCTCTCTCTCTCTCTCTCTCTCTCTCTCTCCCCCCCCAGGGTCTTATATAGCTCAGGCTGGCCTCACTACGTAGCTGAGGATGACCTTGAACTCCTGATACTTGCCTCTACCTAACTTCCAAGCATACGGATTACAGATGTGTCCCACCATGTCCAGCTTCACTTTCTGTTTTTTTCTCATTTGTCTTTGGGTTGGTTACTAGTGGTGGGATTTCCAGGTCAAAGGGCACATACACTTTTCCTAAGAATGCCAAGATGCCCTTTCCACCAGTGATTAGGAAAGCACCTGCCACCCTGGCCTCTCCCAAAGATTGTGCCGTCAAACATCTGGAGTTTTGCCAATCAGATAGTGGGCCACCGGTATCAGAGTGTACTTTTAATTTGCATTTTCTTGTTATGAGTGAGGCTGAGCATTTTTTCTGAGGCACCAAGGCCACATGCCTCTTTCCCCATGTGCTGGTCCTGATTCCAGCCCACTCTCCCACAGCACTGTCTGCCACACAGTCTTCTCTGGCTTTAGATGCTCCTTATGTACTAATGATATTAATCCCTTGCCTGTGGTGGTAAAAATTGTGGAGACTGTCCCAGCGTGTCCCTTATCTCTTACTTCCCCTGCGGTGGCTTTCTGTTTTATCTGCTGCTTCCGGATTTCACAGCACAGTGGGATATGTTTTCCTTAGTGACAGTTTCTTGAGGCAGGTGCTCTTCCTCCTTTTCCCTGCCACCTCATCAGACCCAGGGCCTTGCACACGATAGGCACACACTCTACGTCTGGCTAGCCCGGCGGCCCTCACCCTTAAGTTCTTTCTGCAGAGCCCTACTTTAACTTTTATACTAAAGTCTTTGATCCATCTATCCTAGTTTCCTTCTGGCTTTGTGGTAAACACCAGGATCAAGAACAACTTAGGTGAGGGGAGGGGTTGTTTCAGTTTACTGGTTACAGCCCCATCTTCAAGGGAGGCCAGAGCAGGACCTCAATCAGGAACCCGGAAGCAGGCCGGCTCACTATTCCACATAGCACTATCTCCCATCAAAGAACTCATTCACAGCCAAGGAAGTACAGCAGAGGAACGCGGCTTGCTTGCTTGTTATCAGGTTCATTCTTAGCCAGCTTTCTTATACAGCTTAGTACCACCTGCCCCAGGAACGGATGCCACCCACAGTGGGCTGTGCCCTCCCACATCAATTAAGACAATCAAGACAACCCCCCTCAGACACACCACAGGCTAATCTAATCTAGGCGGTCCTTCAATTGAGATTCCCTTCTCAGATGACTTTAGGCTGTGTCAAGTTGACAATTGACACTAACAAGGACACCACCCAAAAATCATTCTTGTGTATGGTGAGAGAGGTGGGCCTGGCTGATCCTTCATCTTCTCTACATACCCCAACTACTGTCAATGCTTTACTGTTGCTTTGAGGTGGGTCTGATATAGCCCAGGCTGATCTTGAACTTGCTATAGCGCCTGAGAGGATCTTGAGCTCCTGATCCTCCTGCCTCCACCTCCCCAGTGCTGGGAGCTCAAGATCCTCCCAGGCGCTTATTGAAGGCACACTTTTCTTCTGCTGTGTTTGAGATATGGAGGTGCAGGTGTTGATCACATCTGTGTGCATTGTCCTGGGATGCAGGTCCCCTTCTACCCCACACAAAGGCCAGTGTAGCCCCGGTGAGGCAGCTCCCAACAGTTGCACAAAACTTTTTACTCATTCCCATCCCCACTATAGGGCAACAGTCCCAGGACAAGAAGCTCCTTCATGACCCTGGGGAGGAGCAAACGTTTCTCCCTTTACCTGCCCAGGCAGTCCTGTCTACCAGCAAAACCCTTAATCTAGCCCCTGACTCGGCTAACTTTAGCCCGCTCTCACTGAGTGCCACTTATGGTCGGTCCTTATCTCCTCAATCCCACATCCTTAGTGGGCAGCGATTAGCTACTGGGAAGGCATTTTTTGCATTCGCCTCTGCCAGCAGGGGCTTCTGGACACTCGAAGACACTCAGTGTTCTTTGGGCCAACACTTTCTCATCCTGTGCCCGAGAGTGTCCACGCATGTCCCAGGACGCCCTTCTTTGTGCCTCCTGCTCCCTCTCTAGGGTGGGTACAGAGGGTGAGAAAGTGAGTGCCTGTGCTTCACCGGGTTCTTGGTGGTGGCACCTGCTAGTCCCTGAGTTCCGCAGGGAGGGCAGCCTCGGAGTGCGAGGAAGCACGTGCGCCCAGCAGGTGCGCACAGAGCGGAGCGCGGTGAGCAGCCTGGAGTGGAGTGGCGTGGCGTGGCAGGTGGCCGGCTGGCTGAGCCAGGCTGCAGGTAGGCGCGTGGTGGCGCCCAGGGGCGGGGCGTCCTGGGGGTGGGGCGTGCCATCCCTGGGGACCAGCCCCGCCCCCGCCCCCAGGCCGTGCGGACAGCGGCCCCCCGTGGCTGGGCTGGCAGTAGCCGCTACCCGCACTGCGCCCAGCACCCTGTGCAGCCTTCACCTCATCTCCGAGGCGCGGCGCGTTCCGGGGTCCTGTCTGGCCATGGACTCGGCCTCGTCCCCGCCCAGTGCGGAGAGGAAGCGCGCGGGCTGGGGCCTCCTGCTGGGCGCCCGGCGGGGCAGCGCGGGACTAGCCAAGAAGTGTCCCTTTTCGCTCGAGCTGGCTGAGGGTGGCCCGGCGGGCGGCACGCTCTACGCGCCCATCGCGCCACCCGGAGCCCCGGGACCCGCATCCCCCATGTCGCCCCCTGTGTCTCCCGCCGCGGCCCCCGCAGACCTCGGACCACGGCCGCGGGTGAGCCTTGACCCGCGCGTCTCCATCTACAGCACGCGCCGGCCGCTGCTGGCGCGCACCCACATCCAGGGCCGCGTCTACAACTTCCTCGAGCGCCCCACCGGCTGGAAGTGTTTCGTGTACCACTTCACCGTGTGAGTAACCTCCCCGCACTCGTAACTCCTCTGGGCTAGTGCCGCTGCGCCCTAGCTGCGACCCTGAGGGTGGCAAGGAAAGGCTAATCACAGAAACAGAAATCAGACTGGAAGCTGGTTCCTTAAGTTCAGGGACTCTGCTGGTGGCTGAGAGGGAGTCATGTGGAGGGGGACACTTGGAACATGGGGTACGCCAGCCCAGGAGTTCCCACCCGCCAAGCTCTTGGGATGGAGAGACTGCGGTTAGGAGTTAGTCCCCAGAGGAGTAGTAAGCAAGCCGGGAGCTGGCCTTTTGGTGTGGGTCAGTTGTGACAAGAGACTCAGGAGCCCCCAGGAGTGACTGGTGTCTGTGTACAAACCCATCCAGGCCTTGGCGGGTGTTTCTATCTCGGGCACTCAGAGCAGCAGGGACGTGTACAGGATAGATTGGCAGGTGCACTGGCGTTGCCCAAGATGTCCACAGGGGAGTGCCCACAGCTTCAGTAACCCAAGCTGATGAAAGTGGGCTGGATGCCCTGAGCCCAGCGGACACATTATCAGGAGTCCACGAACAGCACCTGCTTTAGGAAATGGGAGGGAGCAGAGCTGCACCTGGCCTTCACTGCTACCAGGTGACTCTCATTCTCACAGGCTGCCTGAGAGGGGCAGGGCATTCCGTTTTTCAAGGGCAGGGGCACAGGAAGTCATCTCCAGGAATGGTCTGGCTGCCCTCCTTGCTGCCTCCCCCTGGCCACCTTGAGGCAGCACTTCCTGGCTGCCTGGCTTCTTGGTGCCCTGCCAGCCTCTGGCTCCAGATTGTACCCTGCCGACCCGCAGCTTTGGAAGCTCCATTAAGTGACCTCCTTGTGGCTTGTCTTGCCACCTGGGCAGGGCCCCACTGGGTGTCCAGGGTTCTGTTAAGTCCTCTGAGGCACAACAAGGGCCAGGCTCACAAAGGTGCGTTCTGATGGCTGCTTGCCTTGCACAGGGAGACAAAGATCTTCCATAGAAGCCAGGGCAAGTCTAAGGACACCCTATCCCCACCGGCATTCTTGGTATGTCCTTAAGGCCACCCAACCCTCAACCTTGCCTCCCAAAGTGCCAGGACCCCTGAGATTTCAATGCTGGTCTTTGGGCGACAGAGGCTCTACATGTGTCTGCAGTGGCAGTGGGCTTTTCTCGGGGTATAGGGAATAGTGTGTAAAGACCCCCAAGGGGCCTTACCGTTGTAGGAATGTCTAGCAAACACAAGGCTTGCTGCTCCTCAGCACTTGCCTGCTGGGCCCTAAGATCCTTGGGATGAAATGGGTGGGGTGCTGGAGAATCCTCTACCCTATTACCTCTTTGTCCAGGAGCTCCATTTGCCAAGGTGAGCAGCCTTCAGACACTTGCATGGTATCCTCCTGGGGATGCAGGTCGTTAGAATGAGCATCGTTAAGTTCCTGACTGTGGTAGCCTGGCCCTGGTGGAGGAAGAGGGCTTGTCCCGCCCCAGAGGAAGTCTGTGCTTACACTGTGCTTTCTTCCTGAATTGGATTGTTCAGCCCTCGGGAAGTTTGCTCAGCAGAGCTGCCTTTGCCCAGCTTCCCCAGCAGCCAGGAGCCACAGGGCTCTGGTGACTTTCTAGATTGGTGGCCCAAGGGCTTCGTTGTCAAGAAGAGGGAGTGAGATTCTGGCTGCTTAGTGGCAGTTGATCAACCTTCCCCAGCCCTAGCACTGGCTGACTGTGGAGTTTAGTTACAAAGGGGAAGGAGTAAGTAAGCTGGGAAGACCCTCCTGGGCACAGCAAATGACTTGCCCAGACTCTGGGGAAAAGGAGCCTCATTTCCATCACCATCAGGAGGTAGGCAGGACCCTCTGGGTCATGCAGTCTCCTGAGAGGAGACATGGCCAGCAGCTAGGAGCCTAGCCACATCTTTATGAAATGCATAGTGATGCTGGTTGCCCCTGGTGTGTGGCTCTAAGTAGCAAATGCAGCTGGCAGACAGCAAACTCTGCTTTTGGTAAGACGGACTCTAGAATGTATCAGGTGATGATGTTGTGGCTGGAAGGACTGCCCTGCTCTTGAAAAGCAGGGAGTGAATGTGTGGGTGTGGGGGGAAGAGTAGGAGTGAGAGCCAGTGTCCTGCAGGCTCTGGGGTATGCTTTCCCACATGCGTATGGGGAAACAGGCCCGGACATCCTGGCCCCTCCTTGGGGGACCCCTGCCTTGGCCCAAGTAGAGCAGCTCTTCCTGTGTCTGTGCTGGCCTTCTCTGGCTGCCAGGGTCAGGACATGGCCCCCTGGCACTGCCCTTTGCTGTTTGGGTTCCCACCTCCTCACCCTAATCCTTTCCTGTGGCCCTTTGTGTCCCCATAGAGAGGAGCTCCCTTCCTAGTTGAGGTCACAGGGGTTTAGCTGCCTTGCTGCTGGGCCTTGGCCAGGGTCAAGGGCAGATGTTCTACTCTGTCAGGCTGCTTGGAGATTTTGGCTGTGACTAACAGAGGGATTTGAGAGACACTACCCACCTCCCTGGTTCTTGTCCCCAGCCTCTCACAGTCTTGGCTTGCTCAGTTCCCAAGAACTTTCTGTGGCTTTTGCTAGGACCTCAGGGAGTTGATCGTAAGTGGAGCTTGCATCTGCTCCTGATGGTCAGTTGGGCAGGCCTTTTCAAATGCAGGAGCTGACTGTATTGGTTCTGACTCATGGAGTGGCTGCTGGGCAGTTGTTCAGCAGACCCAGGATGATGGAGACAGTGCTGAGGTGGTGGCAAGGCTGTGTGGACAACCAAGTCTTCCCTTCTGGTCCCTGGAAGCATCTCTATTCTTCAGTCCTGGAAAAGAATACATTTTGAGGTGTCTCTTTGGGGCTTTTCCACATGCCATCCCCTCTGGGGCCTGGCCCCTTGGTGTCATCCCCTGACATACCAGATATACATACATACATCTCAACCTGTCCTCAGACCCAGCCTGGTATTTCTGTGTACACTGTTGCTTGAATGTGGAGCCCTTCATCTTGGCTTGCCCTTAGCTGGCTGCCCACGGGCATCCTTTTATGCTAGGGCTCTCAGCTAGGGAGGAGGAGGAAACAATCCCATGAAACTCAGATCTGAGGAAGGGATGCTCTACTCTGGGGTCATGAGGTATGGGTACCTGTGCCAGGCCAAGGTGATATTGGGAGCTACCGAGGCAGGAAAGGAGCCTATAGGGACCCATGGTGTTACAATGACAGAGGTCAGGCCCCAGCTGCTGTGGCCTCTGTTTCTTAGGGAGTTTGGTGCTTGGAGCCCTCTGGTGGCAAAGCAGGGTCCAGAACTCATGCTTCCCGGGTGCTGTCCCCTTTGCAAACAGTGGTTGCTTATGGTGCACAATGCAGGATGGCATTCACGGCGGGTCTCCCTAGCAAAGGAGAGCTGCAGTTGCTTCAATCAGGGGCTTCTGAGTAATGAGATGCACAGGTTCTGGTCGTGACCTGCATAAGGGCCCCTGCTCCTCACTCTTTCCTCAACACCCTTATCTAGGAAACGGGCCCTAGTTAGTTCCACAGTCCCTCCCAGCTCTGACATCCCTGGCCAACTGTGGGCGCCTATGCACCCTGCTGTGAGGAAAGGTTGCAGAGAAGCTTCTGGGAACTCCTTTGTGGGGTGCCCAGCCCCTGCCTCTAGCAGGGGGAATGAAGGGATGAGTGCTACCAACAGGGGTCATCTGGATGCTGAACCTAAGGAATAGTTGCAGAGGGGAGGTGCTGGCTCTTTTGACCCTGTGGGGAAGCATGTGGAGTAACAGGTAGGGCAGGGGGAGGCTGTGGCCCTGCAAGGCCTCAGGGCCAAAGAGTAGGTGGTGCTAATGGGTCATCCCCGCTAAGCTCTGCTCACCCACCCCCAAGAATAAGATGTGTTGTTCTCTTTGCTTCTTCCTGGGGGAAATCCCTTTCTGTAGCCCTCCTGAGTGGGCAGAGTCCCAGACTTCTGAGGGCCACAGAGAAAAGCTGGTGGTTGCTCTATCGGCAGGGTGACTGTGGTCACCATGGGACCTGACTTTCCACGAGGCGTCTGAGCACGTGAAAGGGCTGCCTCTGCAAGCCCTTTATCTTCCGCTGTGTGGCCCAGCCCCCTTCCCTGGACCTACCCAGAGGCCTCTTGAAAGGTGGAAGGGACCGCAGTAGCACCTCTCTCAAGGGCCTGTCAAGTGTGGCTACTTGCTGGGTGCAGCTGAGAACCCTGGACCTCAGAGAGGGCAGATTGCTTGCCTAAGGTCACACAATTGGGCGTGCTCATGGAGCCAGGGAGCTCCTGCCCCATATACCATATGATGATCAGAACCAAGTAAAGAATGGTTGCTGTTCTTCTCGAAGGAGAGGTGAGAGTCCTTGGACAGAAGGAGCCTATCTCCTGAGGATGGATTGGAGTCCAACCTGACACACGTCAGCCTTTAGTGCACACTCTGTCAAATGTTCTGAAGGTGCTTCCTCCAGAAAACCTTCCCAGGCAGAGAGATGCTCAGTGCCCCTGTCTGTCCCCCTGCCCTGCCTTCTCGCACACGGAGAGTCCATTGGTAAAGCTGTCTTTTTTTGGTGTTAGCATGTATCTTGATGCCCCTGAGTGTTAAGAGGCCAGGCAGGCAGGCAGGCACCTGGAGCTGTCTGGCTCCTTTCAAGGGCTCCTTGCCTTCTCCCTGCTGCTGTTAACCCCACCCTCACAGCCTGGCCTGTGGTCGACAAGCCTGCTGCCTGGATGACTCTAAGCCCCACAGACGGGCCAGACTGATGACATCTGTCTGCAGTATTTTTATCCAGTGACATTCCTGAGCTTGGGAAAGTGGTGGGTAGAGGCAGACACTGCCAGAGGACCCTTCTGTGGCCTGGGGACAGTCCTGAGGGCCCCACCCATTACTGTTCTAATAAGCCAGGGCTTCTGTCTTGGCCACTGCCCTAGCTAAGCACAGGCAGATCTGAGATGGGAGTGCTTCATATGGTGTTTGTCCACTCTCTGGCCACCTCCTGGGAAGTACCCGGCTCTGGTTTATGGAAACTGAGCAGAACACACCTGGATGTGGTTCCAGAAGGATCCAGGCAAAGGCGGTGTGTCCTGGAAAGGAGGCGGGGCCATTTGTAGAATCATCCTCCCCATGTGTCTGCCAGGTTACCTCCTGTAGCAGGAATGTGCATGTGTATGTATGTGCAAATGCACAGTGTGTGTCTGTGTGTGTGTGTGTGTGTGTGTGTGTGTGTGTGTGTGTGTGTGCGCATGTGCATGCGCACACGCAAATGCACAGGTGTGTGTATTGACCAGAGGACAACCCTCTTCATGTGGCCTATCCAGCCTTCTCACCTTCATGAGAGAGACTTCTTTCTCCAGTGGCTGCTCTTTCAGTCTGGGCCAAAATTCAGCTGGGTGCAAAGACATGAATTGAATTCTGGGTCTCCCTACATTTCTATTGTGTTCATTTTTAAAAATTAATTAATTGTTTTTTTTTGTGTGTGTGTGTGTGCGTGTGCATGCATGCTTGTGCCTGTGCCTGAGTATATGTATGTATACCATGTACATGCAGGCAACCTTAGAGGCAAGAAGAGGACTTCGGATCTCTGGGAACTGGAATTACAGGCACCTATGAGTTACCATGTGGGTGCTGAGAATTGAACCCCAATCCTCTTCAAGAGCAGCAAGGACTGTTAACTGCCATCTTTTCAGTTCCATATTGTGTGTATTTTTATGCCAGGTCCGTGCTGCTTTGCTTACTCAAGCTATAAAATATTGTTTGTTTTTTAAGATAGGGTCTAATGTAAAGTAAGCTGACCTCAGACTCAGACTATGTAGCCAAAGATGACCTTAAACTCTTGAGACTGTCACTACCTTCCAAGTGCTGGGATTACAGATGTGCACTGAACACCCTGCAATATATAGTATCCCTCCCATCTGTTTAAAACCTCAGTCTCTCCCCTCCTTTTTGCCTCAGATTGAACCCAGGTCCTTGTGCATGGTAGGCAAGCTCTCTGCCAGCTGAGTCACATCCCCAGCCTGAGGATGTTTCCAAGTTATGTATTGTGCTGTCTCTCTTTTGTTCCAGTTTCCTAGCCTTGTCCTTTTTTGATCCAATTTCCTAGGCCATTTGGGTTCTTCTGTGGCCCCATACCAATCTTAGGACTTATTTTTAGTCCTGTGGAAAAATGCTGCTGATACTCTGGTAGTAACTATATTGAATCTCTACATTGCTTTCTGCAGCAATGGATATTTTAATAATTTCCTTTGGAGCCATGAACATGGTATGATGGTCTTCTGCATCATCATCAGTTTCTCAAGTTGTAATGTTCGCTGTAGAGATATCTGCCTTTTTAGTTATACACATCCATCCTTTTGTAACTAGCATGAGCAGGCTTTGTCTTAATTTTAGTCTTAGCAAGTTAGTAGTCCAGATATAGAGGGCTGATGATTTTTAAACATGCATTTTGTTCTCTGCATTTTTGTTATATTCCATGACTAGTTGTGTGTGTGTGTGTGAGTGAGAGAGAGAGAGAGAGACAGACAGACAGACAGACAGACAGACAGACAGACACTTTGCGGTCTCCTGTTAACAGATTTTTCTTTAGGCTGCCAGCTCACAAATAATGATACAGAAACCTATTATTAATTATGTGCTCAGGCTATAGCTTAGGCTCATTCCTAATTATCTCTTATAACTTAAATTAACCCATTTATATTAATCTACATTCTATCATGTGGCATTACCTGTCTTCCATCTTGCTCCTGCACCTCCTGTTTCCTCTCAGAGTCTTCTGGCATCTCCACCTTTCTTCTTCCCAGAGTCCTCTCTGTCCCTGGAAGTCCCACCTAACCTCTTCCTGCCTAGCTATTCGCCGTTCAGCTCTTTACTAAACCAATCAGAAGGTGCCTTGCAAGGACACACCTTCGCAGTGTAAACTAATGTTCCACAACAGTCTCTCATGTGGTCCGTCCTGTAGGCCGTTCCTTGTGGTGAGAAGGTGTTTGTTCTATGGCTGTGGGTGAGATGTTCTGTGAGTGCCTTGTAGGTCCTTTTAGTCTATAGTGTACTTTATTATCCTCATTATTATTGTTTGTGTATATATTGGTTTTTCAAGGCAGGGTTTCACTCTGTAGACCAGGCTGTCCTGGAACTCAGAGATCTGCCTGCCTCTGCCTCCTGAGTGCTGGGATTAGAAGCGTGGGCCACCGCTGCCTGACTCTCTAGTGTACTTTAACTCCAGGGTTTCTCCATTAACTTTTTCCTGGACTGCCTTTCCATTGATACAATTTGTCCTTGATTTGTATCAGTTTGTTATTGGTACAATCTGGTAGAATCTGATTTCTCCTTTGGGATCTAATGGTCTTTGCTTTATAAAGTTGGGTGCAGGAATTCACCTGTTGACTCCATCCCTTTGCCATTATAGAGTGGGCTTCTCTGTCTCTTTTCAGTCTGACAGCTGACTTTCCTGATGTAAGTGTGACTACTGCTTGCTTTTGTTTTCGTTTGCCTCAGTTGAGTCTCCCATCCCTGAACTTTCAGTCTCTGTGTTAGTTACTTTTCTCATCGCAGCGACAAAGCACCTTACAGAAGCCACTTCAGGAAGGAAGGATTTATTCTGACCGGGAGTTTGAGCTAGGGAGAGACCAGAGACGTTTATTTTTGTTCAGGGTACCACATGAAGCCTTTCTTATAGGACCAATCTGTTGAAGAATTCTTTCAGTTTTGCTTGCTTTAGAAAGACTTTTATTTTTTTCTTTTCTGAAGGATAGTTTTGCTGGGTATAGTATTCTTGGTAGGCAGCTTTTTTTTTTTTATTCCCTTTTAGGACTCTGGCTGTATCATCCCATTCTTT